AAAGCAACAACAGATATCTTCTCCTTGAACCCCTCTAGACCTCCCCTCTCCAATGTATCACCTTTGTCAAGTTGGACCCCCTTCCATGCGTCATCTACAACATTAACTCCCTCCGTAGGTTGGTACACCAATTCCTCTTGTTTGTCCACTTCGCCTCCTAAGCCTTTCTCGGCAACCTCACCTCTCCCATACCGTACATGCGGCACTGCCACCTAGGGGGCGATTTTACGGCTACATTGTACTCTTACAGCAGTAGTGTCTCGCGATGAAATCCACGCAGAAAGACCTGTCTGTGTCCTCTGCATATGGCAATCGGTATAGAAATAAGAATAAGAACCTCGTTTACCATAGGTGGATACCTGCTCCAAATGAGAACTTGGAAAATAAGAACATGTGCTCGGTTGGAGGCAACCAATAAGCGTCGAGTCTCAAGCTAAATAAGTGGTTCTTAAGTGGTGGCGCGTTCTGTATAGGGATACCTCACCAAAAAAAAAAAAAACGCACCTCCTTCGGGGGCATTTGTAAGACCGTTTCCAATCACATATCAAAATTTCAGGTTATAGTTCGTAAAAACCGGCTCGGAAATCGCTTCTAACCATTTTGTTGGCTTCTTGGCTGGCCCAGCTTGTACCGAGATTGATTCCAACCCTCGTCCCATCATTTCAGAAGGCTGCGAGGACATTTTACTGTAAATGAGTGCGGAAGGAATTCATTCGCGAACTACAACCTACAAGTGTCGTGCTTTTTCGTCCTATATATTATGGCGACAGTCCCCCCACTTTTCGTGGTGAGACGTGTACATGTACATTTTTCAGTATATGCAGAGTACTAACCTGTGTGACGCTGGTGGTCGTTGTACAACAAGTAGAATCGGGCGTTTGACACATATGATATGTATGCTACATGTATCATACAAGTACCACACACACACGAACGACAGAAACCCAACTGGTGAATTGTAAAGTCGATCAGCGGTAACATCAACGTAAGTGGTTTCTCACCATGCCGAGCGAGGACCTCTTTTTCGCTGGAATACACACACGCCTGACACCACACGACGGGAGCTGGTGTGGGAGGCCGCGATTCCCGAGCTGGAGCGGCTGGCGGGACAACTTGCGCAAACTTGCGGCACACGGGGGGACGCATACTGCAGCCCGAATTTCTTTTTGCGGGGGGTATCACTCCTTGTCGGCACACACGCACACACAACAAATTCGAAAACTCTCACAACCAACCCCTCGCCGCCCCTACAGCAGAGCGCGCTAGGAGAGGAGAGGAGCCCTTCGGGACAGAGAGAGACAACGGGCAAGTTGTTTTGTAGGCTGTGGTTACGATTTCGTATAGAAAGAAGCCGCCGTATGGCATCATCTGGTGCACGCGATGGGCGTGTTGAAGCTGCTGCTGCTGCTAATGCGGAGGAACCAACGAGAGAGGTGAGAGCGTGGCTGACTTTTCCCGTACTCGCACCCAACAGTGAGCTTTCAGGTTCGAGAGGGAAAACACTTGGTTGGGCTGGAAGCTATTCTCTCCAGAATGATGTTTACCTACCGTGGCGTGTGTATGCCGTTGCATTGATCCCATGAAATTCGCCGTATGCATAAGACGCAGCAGCGTCGATGCTTACATACAAAGTAGGAGCCCGAAGTGCGTACCTTTGTATCTGCTTGTCCGGAACCAGTTTACTCGTTCACTCCCAAGGTTGTTTGGATGTCGATGTGCGAACAAGGCCTTCCGAATGGGTATATCGTCGGACTCGGCAGACATTGCGGCTTTTGCAGAGTTGGAACGAACGCCCTCTATGAATGACCGCATTGAAATATAAAATATGCGGTGCAAGTGTCAGAATATCGTTCGCGAGTCCCCGAGGATCCGGAAACCAGCATGCCTTGTGTTCACCAATTGGCACGCTCCCAGACCAGGAGTTAGACTATGATCACGAAAAATCAACGCAGCTCTACTATATAGATAATATAATTCCTTTGCTTTTTAACTCTTCTGTCTTTCCCAAAGTGCCGGGCGTGGCCGTAGGTGTGGGTAATGTGGCCTTAGCGAACGGCGCAGGCAGCGGTGGGCGTCGCGACGTCCGCGCTACTGCTTCGGATCTCTCCAGTTTGAGAAGCAAGGTCATTGCAACGTAGAGATTGACCACATAAAAGTGGCAGACGGAATATTCGAAACACGGCAAAGGCAAACCGGGCATTGGTGTTCATCTGCGGGGCAAAGGCATGCTTGCAATGCAAATTGCCACGAGCAAGTAGTTCTCTCAGTAACATTTTGCGTTGGGATTCTTGGTTGAGCACCGTGCCGATGAGGAACCTGGGCTATTATTTCATTCCTGCCAGTCTCCCGCACAAGCCTGCTGTCAGAGGCGTCGGTAGATTCCATATACACCTGAGTCTCTTGCCACCAAGACTGACTTTACTACATTGGGCGGTCAGTTGGCGCGCTCTAAGTATACATAAGAACCTCGCCCACTTATGTGGCCCCACACGTTAGTCGCTGCGCGCACAGCCATAGTAATATGGACTGGTTTATGGTCAAGGTGCCTTTGTCGCAAACGGGACGGTGAGCACGGAAATATTGTACATAACACTCAGAAAATGTGAACACAATGCACGCAGGCCCAGCAGAAGGCCGAGAACGTGAAGCGCGCAGCCAACGATGGTGTATATGCACCCACTGGAAAAATCTAAAAATCTGTCTTCGTCATCATCATCGTCGCCTGACGATACTTCGATTGTTGAGATGTCAAATGGCAGTACAACAATGTGAATTTCCGATTTCGGAAGGGTGCAACGTTTCTTTTGTTGTCGGAAATTCCCTTTCCGACTGCACATTTCTGATACATTCATTGCAAGGGGCCATTCCTTCCGATCGTTTCCTTCGTATGGAGATTTCGACGGAAATTTGGATATGGTCTCTACCCGGACGAAACCATGGATTGCGCAGTAATTTGTGGTCGTTGCAAGCTCTCAGGAGCATTAAACAGCCCTGGGAACAGTTTGGTGTCATCCCAGCCGTTGATATGTGGTTGTCGTTGCCCAGGTGCGTTTGAAACGAATTGCTCGCCAGTTGACACGCTCAACACTGACCCAATCCAAGCCCAAACACGCAGCACCCTCATACACATCGATGAACACCATATTTGTTTCCATTCGTTTGTGATTGTGGTGGGCTACGAGCAAACGTAGTGCCCGCTCTACTGCGGCTTTGTGTGCGCAACCGTAAGACTGCCTGCACCCCCTCGCGCACTTCCCGCACACCCTTGAAAAAGTATGGGCGACTACTACGTGATGAGTTGGCGATTGTTCTGATCCACCCCCCATCTTCCCCCACAGAGTACAAACGGATAAGATTTCTGTGCGCACCGGTGGCCTTTGAAGCAACTGCGGTTGACACGGCAGGGCATTGCCAGTCGTGATGACAACCTCGCCTGCTTGTTACATCCGGCATGCAAGGCGTCGAGTCCGGAGCACAAACAACAAATTCTTGTCGAATGGGACAAGAGATGGCTCGTCGCCGAATGTCCAAACATTAGGTTCTATGTTGGATTCGATTTCTTTTGTCGCGGGCACATGCTGTGCCGTCCATTTCACGCCTCAAACGTTATTCGGCGAATATTTACTATAGTCGTATAATTGAAGTAACCCCGTTTCCTCCCACCGACTTCGTTCCCGTGTTACCCTATCATCGTCTTGAGTTGAATCTACATTTTTCGCGGCACTCTCGCCGTTTCCCGTATCAAGTTCTACGACAACTGCTTGGACCATATTTCATTTTCCTTTCTTCTTTTGTGCGGCCTCGAAACTGGTCCTGCTCTTGACTTCCGCTGCTCTTTATCGTATACTGTCGACAACGTGTGAGTTTCAATCCACGCATTGTAGAATGTGTTCTTTGTGAATCGCTCTTGATATAGTTCCCATGTGATTTTCGCCTAGAGCTTTGATCGCCTTAGAAGCATGCGGAAGCTGTCGGAAGCTGTTGAGACTTGTCGTACAGACTCATCAACGTGCTCTATTGATTATGATAATGAAACGCCCTATCCCAATGGAGGCAGCATTCATATCGACCACCGCCGTTCCTCCCCACACGCAGAAGCCGTACAAAACAATGCTGTGGAAAGAGATGTTTGAACTGCGTTTTGATACGCATCGAAATCACATGTGTTGAATTTGTGCGCATAAACCACATATGTAGCGAGAACTTCCATGTGGACACTGGTTTTAAGCAACTTCCACGTTGTATAGACCACTGCGACGACATTCGCTTCTTGCCCACAGCAGTCGACACACATCATAAAACGTTTACCAACTGTATGGGTTGACGGGCAAATCGGGTGTGGAGGCCGTGCCATGTTCGGTGAACCACCATACGTGTTTCTTTGGTCCCCTAGTCTATGCATATCCTACACCATTTTCATGACACTTCCATACGATTAACGGACAACGTCGTCAGACTCCACATGAATAGTTTCGCCTCTTCGTGTGTCAGCTTTACCATTTGCATGTGTTTGGGTGCGGTAGCTCGTTAGAGGCCGAAAGAAAAAGACGGTTGATTCAAGACCTTGGTTGCTTAGAGAATGAGAGACATGTGGTACGCAACACCATCGCAATGCAGCGTGTCCATCAACATATACCATCCGCGTATCCCCCGGAGGCCCCGTGGACAGTATACTCTGCCGAGCGCCCCAAACAGCATACCCTCCTTTGCTATGTTCCGAGTATGTAGACATCAAAAACAGGTTCCTCGAGATCAACGGCGAATACGGGACACCATAGCCAATGTCGGGATATGCATGCTGCAGCCCGCGGTATCGACCTACAGGCGTCGATGTCATTCAAGAACTTCGTAAAGCACAACATTGGGTTCTCGCACACGAAGACGGCGAGATCTGTATTATTGTTGTGACCAATACTTATTCTGACGACGACCTGCACCATCGCTTTCGTGGGATAGCGCGTCAAGACTATTGGGGCGGCTGTTGCAGAGGGAATTGGGAAATGGTGAGTCTCACACAGATAAGAGGGCAAGAGCTCACTCTATCGCTACTCTTGCATGACATGATCGAGATCTTTTCACTAGCGCCGAATTGATTTGTTTGTGCCGCATTGTGAGAGTGACGCCTTGAAGGGTGCATCTCAGGGATGCCTGTCGAGGCTTCGCAGGCACGCTGTCGCCGAACGTTCGAGCTACAACGTACACCTCTGCTTATCTGTTGCCCAGCAAAGGTAGCGTCCGAACTCAACATATGTTCCACCCAACCGCGATTCACTGAGGGGAAGAGTCCTCAACTCCAGTTGATAGTAGACGTGGTCCTTTGTGATGGCACCCACACCTGCGCAAGAACTTATTCAACTCGTACTGGTCCGCTTCATACCGACAAGCACACAGTTTGTGTATTTGCGGGGCATTCTCGAACGCAAATTGATCCTCCGGTTCCCGTGACCGGAGGGCCATGCGAAGGTGACACTACCATATTCGAGTGCACAAACAAGTTGGTGTCGATTGCCAAATATATTGGCTTCGGCACTCGTCGCATTCGCGGCCGTCTCGAAAGGACGAGTTACGTTTGGCTTGTCTTTGGCTGTTTTCATTGGTGGAGAAAGTCATGTCGTTGACAAACTGGGGAAATATCGCTCGTGTGCAGAACCCAGATGCCACAGCACATAAATCGGACGGTTGGCTTGACAGTTGGCTCCAACAAGTGAACGATGTAGTATCTTTTCCACACTCGACATCACCAGCGCTGTTGTTTTGTGTGCATTGCCCACCGAAGTCGTCGTCGTAGGGCCAATGTCCCGAATTGTGAAGTTTTGTCCTCCCTCAAGGACGCAGGTTGTGTGGCCCTGATCCCAGCTGTTTTTCTTTCGTAATGCTGCTTGATTTTCCGTCAGTAACGTATTTGCCGGCGGTTGTTAGGTTTGTTTTTTTCCTTGCAGCACCATCTGTGCCCAGCATATTCGGGACTACGACCTGTGGTATCTGGAACCGTTGAAGGTTCGCAATATCAACGTAGCCGAAATGATCAGGACTACATTGGACCGATTGTTGCCGTCGTTGGAAAGCTTCCAATAGCTTGCTCCGGACGTGACAGCTTGGTCTATCGCTCTCTTGGTGGCTGTGGCTCCGACATCAGGAATTATTTGCCTCTATCTGTCGCAACAGGCAATTGGCTTATTGAGTCTTCGGGCCGGCAACCGCCGCTTCAAGCGTTGAACCTGGAGAAATGCTAGCAGATCGTTCAATTTTGATAATGCAAGGCGCCGGGGCGCCAATAAGTTCATATGGTAATTGTCTCCACTGCATCGCAACCCGACATGACGGTATATATGAGCTGCAAGTGTTTGTGTACCGTTGGTATTCCGGAACTTTCGAGCATGATCGCGTCAAAATGTTGACCCGACCAATTTTGCTCTGGTTGCCATCAGGAAACTTCGCCGCCTGCGGAGGACACCATTGGCTGTAAGGCACAGCTTCGTGGCCTTGGGGAACCACTGTTACGCATGGACCGGGAAGTACGAAGACGAAGTCTCCGATTTTCGCTACCTTATCACGGCTGGAAAGGGTTGTTCCGAGGCTTTCTACCGAGAGTAGACCCTGACTTGCACTACGCCCTCAGATCGTACCGTGATGGCTCTGCTATTGAAGCCCACGGGGAGCAGATACTTGACCTTTTCATTCGGTTGGCCTCGGATGCAGAGTGGAAAAAATGGCTGATGCTCGCGGTGCAAGTGGCCGCAGTTGCTGGTAATCTCAGCATGTTCGATCGACTCTTGGCAGCCTGTCCTCGAGACTCGACGTTTTGGACGCTGGAAACCGCCCAGCCTCTTTTTTCTGGAGCAGCGGAAGGAGGAAACTTTGACATATTTTCCGGCCTGCGCGATGTCTGTACGAGTAATCCCGAGTCCTGGACACATGGCCCCACCGTGCGGCTCCTAGGTAGCGCTGTGAGGGGAGGCAACGTGGACATATTTTCCAGTGTCTATGCTCTATGCCGCAACGATTCGGAGTTCGAGACAGAGCAAGCGCAGATTCAGAGGTATTTAAGAGTGGCCGCGTGCGGGGGTAATTTGGAAATATTTTCTACTCTCCTTGCTCTTTGCCCGAGTGCGGAGGTCTGGACGCCTGAACAAGCATTTCAGGTCCTTGCTGGCGCCGTGTCTGGCGGAATTTTCGAAATGTTTTCGAATGTCCTTGCTATCGACGGCTTCCCGTCGCTATCGGACGCAAAATATGGCCGGGGAAGCATCCGGCTGCTCCTGACGGAAACCGCGAAAGGGGGAAGTGTGGACATTCTGCTGGCCCTTCTCGAAGTGGATGGTTTTGATGCTGAATTGCGCGAGCATGACGCCTCTGACCACCGTCCTTTTTCTGCTCTGTATGCCGCTGCCATGAGAGGGCACCCGAGCTTCGTGGCGGCCCTCATCGAAGCCGGGGCCCCTCTTGAGTACAAGTGGCGTACGCAGGGTGTTATCGGAGATACTGCGCTATCGGCCGCTGTTAGAGAAGGTCACGAGGAGGTGGTGCGCGAGCTTCTGGCTGCCGGGGCCTCAACTTCCAACACTCGAGAAGCCGTCATGGTACCCGGGCAAAACCTCTTGAGCGTTGCCGCATACGAGAGCAACGAGGGTATCATCGACGACTTGGTCGCTGCTGGAGCGGACCTTGGCAAGGATCGGGGCGACTGTCTACCCCTGCATGTAACAGCTAAGGAGGGTTTCTGCAGGCCGTTGGAACGACTTCTCCTCGCCGGGGCAAAAGTGGATTGCGTTGACCGAGTAGGGCGATCGGCCCTACATGTTGCCTGCGTCTACAATCACGAGGGTGCCGTGGAGACGCTGCTGCAGCATCATGCCAGCACATCCTTGCTCTGTGACGAAGGCCTATCGCCGTGGGATGTGGTCGCGGCAGATGCACTTGAGAGGCGGCAGCGAAAGTCGATGAGTTTCACCTCCAATCTTCGCCGTCCTTCCACATTGAATACCGTGGAAACTGAGGTCGCTGACCGCATTTATAGTATCTTGCAGAGGTCTAGCTCTTGGGGACGTCGGGGTTGGTTGGTGATGATGCGGGCTCGGCGCCTTGGCCCCGAACAGGTTCTTGGTACCTCGATGTCGCTGTTACCGTCTACGACAACATCGCACGAAGGCCAGGGCGCATCTCTTCATGACGGGTGGGAGGCCGAAAACATCGATCGCGATTGCTCGCCGCCTACCACTGGATGGAAAGTGAACGCAGCAGCAGATAAGCGCGAGACGCCGCCGGGGGGGCACGGTGAGGAACATCGGAAATCTGCTGGCCCGGGTAGGATGACGGAAGCTAGAGAGTGCGCCTGGAAGGGCGCCGTGGTGTGGCTCCTGCAGTGTCCCGACGAATGTGGAGTCTTCCATGAGGTTCTTAGCTTCCTATGAAAGCGCTTCCACAGGGTATGCTTGGGTAGAGAGATGCGAGAGGGCACCAAGCTGGCATGTGACGCCGGAAGGCGTCAGTAGCTACGCTTTTTCGCCTTCACACGGCTACACAGGTGCCTTCGAATCTGCCGTTGCAGGTACGACGGGGAGATGCAGTTGCTCGCAACTCTCCGAAACGCTGTATTCAGCGTGAAGTTGGATTGTTGTATTCCGATTGGCCGGGTAGCTTTCCGAACTTTGCCCATTCATCCTCCCTGTTCGGATAGTGGCTGTGTGTCGACACAAGCGTAGAACAGTCTGATTGGATAGTTCGAAATGTCGGGACTGTTGCTCTGTAGAGTCGTTGATCGGCCACACATTTGGGAGTTATGTAGAACGTTCTTGGTCTTTCGTGGAAGATTGTTATGAAGCTTTAGCCTCAACTTCTCAGACCAATATCCATGTTTCATTCGACTCCCCCACCCCTTGCCCGACTCGGCCCAAAATGATGATCTCGAGCTACAATGCAAATCTCACGGAGTCCGGAGTATGGTTTGGTGGGGAAATGCAGATCATCACCCCTCCCCGAGTGTGAGGAGCTTTCGCCTCCTATGGCCGACAAGTCGGCGTTGTCTGTGCCGTACTCCGTACTCCGAACGGGGCGGTTGAACAGACAAAGAGGGTCCGTCCGGTTGCATCACAATTGTTTATTTTTTTCTTGCGAGGGAGCGGGGCTTTCCATCTTTGCCACCTGGATGGTTTGTATCCCTCAGGCTGCTGTTTTCATGCACCACAGCGGGTATCTCGGAGGTATGCGGTCTCTCTGTCTGCTAATAGTGTTAAACACCCGTACGCGTCACTCATTCCCTAAAATGTGCACGGACAGCAACAATCATCGCTGCTCTCGTTCATCAGCATGTTCGGAATATATCTGCATCGCCTTTATGCCGACCTTTTTTGTGTGTCTTCCATGCGCGTGGTCATTGTCGGTCTTATGTGGCTGCTTTGAATTGATGAATGACCAGTGAATGTTTTTGAACCGCATGTAAAGCAGGAAACCCGGACCGCATGTCCGCTGCCGCTATGGCTGCCCCTGGTCTTTCTGCAGTACATGGTTCGGTGTTGTGGTGTGCATCTACGCGGCTACATGGGTCTACGTCGAACGTTGACAAGTTGACAAGTTGTGCAACTGCCCGTCCCTCTTTCTGTTGACAAGTTGACTGTTACCGGTCCCACCGTCCATTTCTCGTCCACGCTCACAATGTTGTCGGTGTGTGCCGTGACTGCGAGAGAGCCGCAAGCCACCAACTGACGACGCTTTCCATGTCGTCACACAGAGTACAGATAGTTAGGCCACCTCTACCACGGAGGAAGCGCGTACTACATAGGCCTGCGCCCATAACTCTCCTTTTGTCCTCTCTCCGTCCCTCCCATTGCCGGCTCTTGGAATACTGCTGGTATTTATTTTGTTTTCAAGGGTCCGCGAAGCATATGCATATTTCTCCGGTTTATTGCGATTGCCGCCCTGCCGCTGCTGAGTTTTTCGAGAATAAGTACATGAGATGGCCTCGAGGAATAGTGCTCGCATAAATGAGAAGGAATTTGTGCGTGTTTGTACATATGCTCTATAGGATGCGCGAACTCTTTCCCTTCCCGAGAATAACGTTTCGCCTAGCTGCTTTCGTCCTTCTCGGTTATCTCCGCTCCTCTTGTTTTTGTTGTTCTTCTAACAGTTTGTTGGGGTCCTATGGGTCCCCCCGTCCACCCCAAAAATCAATTTTCAGGTGCAGTGAACGGGTAATGCCCTTCTTGGCTGCCAGCACCCACGAGGCAAGTCGCCGCCCTCCTTTGACATTCCATATCCTTACAACACCCCTCTGACAGCAGTAGCTTAAACACACCAGAATGCCTTCTTAGGCATGCAAGGCGTGTGGGGGGCCATCGTCGATGGGCATGAGAACCAGCCCCGTCAACTGCCCAAGTTCACCGCAGGAGACGCTTTGTTTCTTTGGGTCATTGCCACATCCTGTCACCTGGTCGGGCCCACAGACATGTGTTTTACCCCCTCCATGGACTCGTTCACCACAAGAACAACAGTAGTTCTATTCCATGTTCAGACGGGAGGAAACAAACGCATATTATACGCCCTCTGCCTCTCTCCCCCCCCGACAATCTCCTGTCCCGCTCATTTTTGCGTTTTTCCATGGACACAGTAGCGCGGGTGGGAAACATGGCGTCGCCAGGGTGATACATGACCTCCCTCGATGATTCGAGTGCTTTCGACCACATCCTCATCCGGCCTTCTTCCTGGCCCCTGCTCGGCTTCGAGTACGGGGGCGTGGATTGCGTATGGTGCGTCCTCCCATTTGGACTGAGCATTGGCCCGTTCGTCTACCACACCCTCAGTGCGGCGAAAGCAGCATTTCTCCGCTCCTTGGGAATTCCGGGGTTGGCATACCTGGACGACTTCTTCCTTACCAACCTCGAATCCACTCTGGGCCAAACAGCGCGGGAGCAAGTGGCTGGCGGCTTGCGAAGCCGCGCATATTTCCGTCTTGGTATCTTACTTCTGCGGTAACTTCCTATCGCCGAAGAAGTGCGACTGGCGAGACCGACCGCGATCCAATAATACCTAGGCATGTTGTGCGGCTCCACAACAGCAACATTTCGGGTGCCGCAAGACAAGCTGGACGCCGTGCACGACATCTTACAAGAATCCCTAGCCGCGGGCAACATGTCCTTTCGGACTCTTCAATGGGTAGCCGGAATAGCCACGAGCATGACGGTGGCCATTCGACCGGCCTCTCTGTATACCCGGGCGATGTTCGCCGCTTTGACAGCTCTGGAGCGATCCACACTGCGGTCGGTGGATCTTTCAAAAGACTCGAGCGCAGATTTGATGGGGGAAATGCGTAAGTGGCTGGACATTACGGCTACCACGCACGAGGGCCCGTGGCAGCTGGCGCGACACTTCGCGGCAGCCCTCACCCAAGGGGCATCGGACGCGTCGTCTCTGGCGTGGGGAGGAGTCCTGTACGCCGCGACAGACCCTTTCGAAGCGGGAGGGGTGTTCCCCCCGGAGTGGATGTCGACGCACATCAACCAGAAGGAGATGTATGCGCTGTACCACTTGCTGCTCCAATTCTGCCAACGACACCCGGATTATCTCCGTCGGGCACAAGTGTTCTGACGTCGACAACCAATAGTCGTGGGCGCTTTCAACCGGGGTCGGGCGAAGAACCGCGCTACACACGAGTTGCTTATCCGCCTGTTTGACCTCCAAATAGAGTATGGCTTTCTTTTGTCCCTGAAGTGGGTTCCTACCGCGGAGAACGGTGTGGCGGACGCCATCTCGAGGCCATCACGGGAGACTGCCATCCGACTTACACCGGATGCTTTCCGGAAGCTGTGGCAGGAGCTGGGCCCGTTCAACATAGACTTACTGTAATGGCTTGCACATCATCAGCACAGCGTTCATTATCGTCCGGAGGGGCGCTTCCATTCCTGTCGCGGGGGTCTGCGGGCGTGTACGTCTTTGCGCAGAATGTGGCAGTCTTACCGGGCGGCCATGTACCAGCCCTTGGCTTCTGTTTCCCCCCGCCCAGAAATGGCGGGGCACGTAGTTGAACACCTCGCCGAATGTCGAGCGCGCGCGGTAGTGCTCCTTCCGAGTGTTAGGTCTTTTAGCTACAACTCGCTCTGTCGATGTCGCTGGCATTAATGAAAGCGGAGTGTTCGTATGGCCCTCCGCGGAGGGCATACTCAAGACGTGGAGATACCCAGGTTGGGCGATGATGGCATACGAAGTAGATTTCCCTCGAACATGAATCGTGTTGTACTGCATTTGCTTATCTCGGTAGGTGGATATCCACCCGCTGTTTTTTTTTTTGCTTGGTTCGGCGGAGACTGCTCCGGCCGCAGGGGTAGCCTCCGTCCGGGACCTGGTTAACTTCCCGCGTTGCGTCCACTGCAACCAAGAGAATGTCGCTGAGTTCAACATTTGCCGGGAGTGCGCTGCTCGACCGCTCCGCGGTGCCCCTTCTCCGCGCCTCGGCTCTGGGGCACACGTTCTCATCGATCGCCATAAACTGCTCGCTCGGCGGGCGCAGATGGAGACGGCTATGCGTGGGCGGGCCGGGGAAGTCCGTAAACACCGGGTGGCCGATGAATTCGACCTCTTTTTTGCTATCGTATTCCGGTGGAAGCAAAGGGTGGGTTCACGCTTCCCCGGACGCGTAGTCGATTGGTTTAGCTATCTGGACTCCCAGGGAAAGGGCATGAAGTTGGTTCACGATATCACATGCGCCGGAGTGGGGGCGAGCGATCGCCGAAGCTGCTCCCCGGGCGTTACGTGCGCAAAGCGATACGGTGCCGAGTCTCTCCGCAAGGGTTTCTACTCTAGGCACTTTCACCACCGAGGAACAGAAGCGGGTAGGAATAACCGCGAAGCAAGCAGCGCCTCTTCTGGAGGACACCCTCGGGGAGTTGCTGCCGAATATGCGTGTGCGAGCGCTCGCTTCCGATTCTACGGCGGAACGCATCGCCATCACTCGGGACGTCGCTCTCTTTTCCCTTGCGCACCATTCCATGCGTCGGGGGTTTGACCTCTCCTTAACGTTGGGGTCGCATGTACTCCGGCTGCCGGGGTCCCAGGGTTAATTTTCAACTTCCTCTTTGGAAAAACTTTGCGGGCTTCGACCAAAGTCATTGTAGTGCTTGCTAGCGCGAACCGGGACGTATGTACCGTTAGAGCCGTGGCGGAGTACATCCTCGCCACACAACAGGTAGGGTGGGATTTGTCATCGGGCTACCTGTCCCCGTCGGTTCTGGACGATGGTAACCGAGGGAACTCGAAGCTAGTGGCGACCAAGATGATGTCGTCCCTTCAGGCGCACCTCAAGGCGGCCAGTCTGCCCGCCCATTTTTCCATGCACTCGTTCCGAGTGGGAAGGTCGTTGAGCCGGTCCATGGGCGGCTCCGCTATAGAGGAGATCATACAGATGGGGGGTTGGAAAACAGAGTCGATGGCGAAGTACTACGTAGAGCCGTCTTCCGAACGGCAGCGGGCGGCCAATTTTACGGCCACCAACGAGGAGCCATTATCGCTGGCGTTCGAAACCGACTTCGCCGCCTGTGCTCGCCGTAAGCCGTCGTAATTTATCCACGTGGCGGAATACAAGAAAGTTTGGGTGAATCAACCAGGCTCCAGGCCAGTGGCCAAGGACAGCACACGGCTAGGAAAGTATGGGTGGAACCACGGGCCGGAGCTGGAGGCCTCATCCCAAAATATCCTAGGCCAAGAGCAAAATACAACAGAACTTTACGAACGAACCAGGTTCGATGTGCCGTGCTCCTCTTCGGCCAAGAACGCGGCACAATTACATACATAGCGTTCTGCTGTCGGACCCCGCTGAGATTTGCAGCAGTGTAGCCAAGTGGATCTTTCTCCAAATCAAGAAACAGCAAGCACGCTGTCGCTTGGTCGAAAAGCTCCAGTGAGCCTGTTGGCGGTGCTGCGCGCGGACTACACGACTGTATCGTTCACAATATGTTCCGGTACCTGTTGTGCTGTCTGGTAATCTTTGCTCCTCCATCCGAGGATGATGTCCTGTGCATAGCGTTTCGACTCAGAGGTTGGGCTGCGGCGGACTCCACATCACCTACAAACAAATGTAGAAGTGCAAGACCGACATCACGAGGTTGCTGGGCATGTTGTGCAGGTGCTGGTGAGTGATGACGGTACTACTGTGCTAAAGAAGAAAATATGTTGGGGAAGATCTTCTTAGAGCGTTGCACGAGACGTCGTGGACCACATGCCGAGGTCGACAGGTGCTTGTGCGGGCTGGGATGCTCAGTCCGCCGTGCAATGCATTCATCATACGTGTTATCGCAATAGGTTCCTGCTGGTGATGATAGTAGTATGGGTTCTGGTGTTGGCATTGGTGTTGGTGACGTGGTGTCGTCGTACAGCCAACTCGGGTATGGCAGACTCTACCCTGTGCGCTTCCGTGGCATGTACCAGATGACAGGAGCGGTGAAGCCCGTACCAAGAAGTCGCGCTAGTATTGGCGATGTGCAGATCGCACCACCCCTTACAAAACGATGGATAAGGCTACACCCGGTTCCCCACATCATAACAAAAACTTAAAGGAATGGCGTTTCGAAAAGGAACAAAACAACTTGATTATAGACTGCGGGCAAGCAAACCAAATGCAATTATGTAACTACAGCAGCACATGGACGGGGGGATGTAATAATTATTCAACGGGGAAAGCGTATTTGCACTCACGTTTTGCCCCACAGATTGAAAAATTACAGCCTACGATCTATCAAAAATCTAACTCGTTTCGGCGTAGGAAGTCGGTCAATAATCCGCTTGATTCGCGGTCACACGTGGAGAACGGCGGCGACGCGCCAACGTACCTTCGAGATCCGGTAGTCGGTGAATCCGCTACAAGATGCTTCTATCGCAGCTTAGTTATAAGAACACTTCTAGAGTCGTTTCTGGCTGCCATTTACACTTGTTAAGGCATGCGACGCCGCAATAATACACCACATCGCTAGGCTCTGCCAATATCGACCAGCGTGGGTCAGTAGCGAGCTGAATGTACCCGCCACTGGAGCATAGGTTCAGGACTTGTTTACGGAAGAAAAACTCGTCTGGGAGATGGTGCTCGAAAAGGAGTTTTCACACACCTCGGTCTACAAGGCCTCTCTGCTGTTACGGCGCACATTTTACCCGACCGCATTGCTCAAGCTAGGGCGACTTCTCGAAAATAATGTAGAAGTGTGTGTCTCCTAAGGGTCAGCGGGGTAGAGGGGGAGTGGGAGCGTACAGCAGTCCGGAAGGGCACCGCCAAGGATGTATTTTCTAAATAGTTGGATTTCTAAATTCTCGACATCCGCAACAAACAAAGCGGTAGTAGCGAAACCACAATGTTGCTGCCCCACGATCTACTGGTTTCCCATCGAATGCCAAAACTGCGTATCCTGGAGACCATGCTTGTGCACCCACCGTGTCGCCTGTTTGTCTTGGATGATAGATTGGTGTAGTTATCAGGCTTGATTTGAGAGGGGATGCGTGGACGTAGACTACGCAATATGCTGACATAATGACAGGTACCGCTGCTCTGTGCGAGAATGGGAGCAAGTTTTCCTGTGGGGCTTCCTAGCTGGTCGTATGTATGTGGTATCTGTGGATGCTCATTCGTAGTTTTCGAAGTAACAAAATAATCAAGATCGATCTATCACATTCGCGTTCTGTGTGGTTGGATGTGTCCCGAGAGTTAATTACTCCGTCGTAGGCAGGTCATATAGAGCAGCCCTTCAGGCCTTGCGAGGGCGGAAATTCTGCCCAGCAATGCTGCAAGATCGAGCTCTACGTGGGGTATCTGTCATGCATGGCTCCCCCGCCAACGCCTGGAACTCAAGTAGTGGAAGCACGATATCATCGATTTGAGATTATTTATTGTTTTGATGCACACAGCTGGGACTGTTGGACAAGGTTTAGCGTTTCCTTGAGATGAAACCCAACAGTGCAGACATCGAATGTTCGCAGCGTCGAGACTTTGAAGAACAACCAACGACGGTTCGTTCCACGTTCGGCACATTGTTTGCATCGTACGAGCACTGTAGGGACACAAGCCGAGAATATCTCTCTTCTCTCGGAGCGAAGAAAGCAATACGGTACGTCTTGGACAAGGTCCACTCAGCACCCCTCTTCCTGTCTCTCGTTTCTCACGCGGGCCAAACTCCTGAACCCATGCGACCTGAGAAACGTACGCTTGGTCGTGCCATTGCACGATGGTGCGCCATCCTTGAACAACGACGCTGACGGTTCGCGCACATCTCCCCATGATGGGGCTGCGGTTCATTCGTCGACAAGACCACAACCGACTTGCGAATGTTTTCTGCCCTGAATCCCTTGACATTCACCCCACTCACGTTTTCTCTGGCCCGCGTGCTGCGCCTGCAGAGGTCGCGGAAGATCCCGTACCAGATACCCCATACTGTCCCGTCGAAAACCGCTCCAAGCAGAGGCAAGTCCCAGGGCTTAGCCAAAGCAACGGCGCGACCTGTGAAGAGGTTTCTGTGCAAGTGAAGAATAGCTCCGGTGCAAAGATCGCGATTTTCTGGTTGGATGCGGACGATCGAGAGGTGAACGGAATACACAACCCAATTGGTTCGCGTTGAGTCCGTCACGATTGGAGCTGTGAGACGACAGCCAGCGTTATTCACAGCGGCAACGAAACATGATCGAGGAACCCGATTTGGTACCCTTGAAACCAACGATGCACGTGTTTGGCCCATGCCACTGTAGTGACTAGAGCCTACCAACCGAGGTGTAGATGATAGAAATGACACATTTCACATCGGCAGGTGCTTACAGGTACTCGCCGAAACCCTTTCCCGCGTGTTTTGGCTGCGATATTTCAACTCAGGAGTTTAAGCAATCTATCGGGTTGGAGGAGACGAGAGTCATGCTAGCGTGCCGAGGTCATGTCTGGCGAGCCCGTGATACTTCTTCCGGCCCTCCTGGGCGGCGACGGTTGTTGTCCGAGATGGAAGTTCCACCATCCGCTCAACAGGCATCGTCCACCTCGGGTTCTGCTGATATTCCTGCAGCTGCTACCTCTAACAATGAGGAGGTTGCCGGGAATGGGTATCGGTGGGAGGTGCTGGCGTGCGCTGGCTTCCCGCTCCCAAAGACCTTTGACGTTGTGTCTTCCCTTGGTGGTCTAGGGCATTTCGGACTGTCTAGGTATGAGAATCGTGAAGTCTAGCTGTTCAGTTAGGTAGCTCATTTTGATTGATTCTTCGTGAAAAAAATATATACTGGTACTTGTTTTCTCTGGAAAAGGAAGTACGAATATGAACAATTTACTCAAGGACAAGTGGTCCCCCGTTCCGCTCGTACCGCCAGTTGCCGCGCCTTGTGTGCTCGATAGTCGGATCGGCGTCATATAGCAGCCTCTCCCCCGCATCGGCACTCCACCATTCCTCAATAGTCATAACCACCTCATTAAGGACTCGACAGCCACGTTTGTAGCCGTAGTGTATCACACATCTGACTCTGGAAACGTGCCATTTTGCTGGCCCGCGCGACGCTTCCACTGGCACATGAAGGGGAGCTCTGGGAAGGGGCCTGACGGGTCTCCAAGAGGCGACCGTGAAGCAGAGCACGGACATAGAAGGGTTGGTCTCCATCACCCTGGAAGAGGCATTCGTAGGGAAGGATGTCGCTGTCAACATCCGGCGACGAGTGAGCGACAAAGGGGGAGGATTATCGGTTGAGATTTTTTCTTCGTTGTCGAAAGAGGGCGATTACGGAACGAATTTCATGTCGTCGCATGAGAGCTGCGTCGTACAAAACGAGCAGTTCGACAGAGTTTGCTCTTCTCATTGGAGGTGCTTGTGGCTCGAGCGAACTGTGAACACGTCTTGCTGATCAGAGCTAGCTTGAAGCGCGCCGTCGTGGACTAGTGGGTGCGTCGGTCTAAGAAATCGGAAATATTTGAAATTATCGTTTTGCGTGGCATCCAAGGGTCTCTCGATCAATAGTCCGCGAAACCCCAAACTCTCATATCCCCCGTGTATTCGCTGTCTTTTCAAGGTCCCATGTCCGGAATGCCACGGCTATGGAGCGGCCTCTTTTGTTCCATGTGACCGATGCGGTGGGTCAGGTAGACGCATCCACGACATTAGCCTCAGCAGCGACGACACCCCTCCAAGGAGTGTTCCAGTCATGGAACACGGTGCCAACGGTTGCGGTCGCAGCGGCGAAAGCAGAGAAGGCGGCCCCCATACGAATTCAACCGGCAGCGCTTGTGTCTCCCACGAGTGTGGCCATCGTGGTGGACTCGGAGGAGGTATCTATCGTGGTAGTGGGTGCCACGCAGGGCACGTCAGTTGCAACGGAAAATCAGACCCTCCGTGTCGCCGCCCTGAGGGGGAAGACGTCTGTGTGGAACGGGCTGCAACGGACGACGACAACGACGAAGGAGGAGACGCTGAAAGACTCAGGCTGACGCGCACCGCTGACTGCGCGAGGTGTGGGGGCTCCGGCATGGTACCCACCCCGTCCACAGACGGGGGGCCGCCGCTGTTCTGCTCGCGATGCACGGGGGCGAGGTTCGTGGAGGAGACGGTCGAGTTGCTTCTGTCGATCCCTGCCGGGATAGAAAACGGCCACACAGAGGTTTATCGAGGCGAGGGCCACGTTGACCTCGGCGGTAAGTCGCATCACCCGTCTGTGCCCTCCAACCGATCCATAGTATGAGGAAATTGCGAGATAGACACGGGAACATGGTTACTGTTCTCGAGCGTACATGGGCGCACGAGCACTGCTGGTCACAAGAGGTGATGTCGGACGGTTGTGCTGGGGAGCTACACTTCGTACTATTCAGTCGGTCAACGCTGGCCTTCCAACCTGAACCATGTTCCCACCAGTTTAACTTCACATTCCAGCAACACAGGCTCACGCGCGCGTCGCTTTACTCCACTATATGTGTACAGGGTTCCAAGAGGGGACGAGGGAAGGCCGCCACCCTTGCTCAGACGTTCTCGTGCCCTCGAACATCGAGTATCCCTGTATTTTTCGCCCACATTGCCTGCCACATGAACATTGCCCCTTGCTAGTAGCGCTGGCCCATGTTTCCTTCCCGACATACCATCGTGTCAATTCCATGACCTCCTTCAGATCTGCTTGATACGCTAAAGCCGAGGGTATCGAGTGAGGAGGCCAGTATGGACGATGCGGACACCGGCAAGGCCTCAGGTCCATCACCCGCTCCTCCTCCTTGTTCCTCTCGTCCATACCAAGGCGCCTCGTCCATCAACTCCCAGTGGGCTTCACCCACCCTCTCTCCTTCTTCTTCCTCCTCTTCACCCGTTTCTCCTACCACTTCACCCGGTTCTTCAGAATCAACACGCGGTGATTTCTACGCTTCACCTCCAAAGAAAAAACTGAAAATGGGAAACTTCCGGCTGACAGTTGATGTCTTACCCCACCCAGTCTTTTCACCCACGGAAGAAGGAGGGGCAGACCTGCACGCAACAGTTTCCATTTCCGTGGCGGAGGCATTGACGGGCTTCACCCGGGAAATCACTGGCTTGGACGGCTCCATTGTGACGGTCAGGTACGACTGTACACGCTTCATGGTGACCTTGGAAAGCTGTTCCACATTGTAAGACATTGTGGGTTACGCTGCAGTGGTACCGATGGCGATGGTGATACCGTCAAATGCGATAGTCCAACAGCCGCTTGCCAACGTTCGACCCACTCCCCTCTGGTGCTCCTACGTTTACAGACGGACGAGTCGTACCCTACCGGGCATGACGCTCCGCTTCCCCGGCCTAGGAATGCCTCTGTACTCTCCAGCTGAAAATAAACGTTTCGATGAAAGAGCCGGGAGTGCTCGACGGCCGGGAAGAGGAGGAACCTTGCCAGGACGGGCTTCGCAGGTCGTGGAGGCGGGGAGCGAGGGGCTGAGAGACTGGAGAGCTCGTGATAGGGGAATGTTGGAGCATGGTGATCTCATCGTCGAGGTTTTGGTAAAGCTCCCAGTGGGTGAGACGATAAGCCTGGATTTTCCTGTGGAATTGCTGTGAACTTCTGGGCACCTGCGCCGTTGCCGCTTAAACAGGCGCGTAGGAGCTCCCCAGGCAAGGGAACTGAGCGTTGAGTGTACATGGTATTCTGCGGGGCAGCTGTATTCACCTTAGAGGTGTACAGGTGGGCAAAGAACCGGCCCTGTAGGGCCTTACTTCATGTCGTGATGGCTGTCTGAACTTGAATTAGAACACCTGTGGGGTGATCCTTCCCTGTGATTCCCAGCTGCCCTGCGCGCAACGCGGACTCCCGCCCCCCTCCTGTTTCTTCATTTTTCGCCAATGGGCCTCACTCTGCGCTAGTAAAGGTTCGCTTTGACACACCGTTGTATGCGTTTCGCGTCCAACCACCACCAGGCATGAACACTGACCGGTCCGACTTCATTGGATCGTTCCTTAAGGCTGGGTCCAAATCGACAAGCGGGGAAGAGAAGACCGACGACGATGATTATTGAACAGCGTGCCCAGAAAGCTGAAGTAGCAATCGGCAACGGTGAATAATCATGGCCAGGAGTGCACGCGGTCGGTCTTCTGGGGGGGTGGCAGGGTGCGATGGTTGATTTACAATGGAAAGAGCTTCTGAACACGGTTCATGTGTTCGGTAAATGTCTTGCATTGCTGTAGGTTCAAGTTGCTGGACGCTCGCGCTTGCTAAGGTAAGGAGTTCCATACATGGTGATGGGACGATAACTGATAACGGATTGTGCTGCTGAGCTGCGGTGATCTCCAGCAAATTCTCGAGTCGGAGACACGACCCAGGAGAGGTCGAAAACTATGACTTTGCGGCTCACATGTTCTCTGTTCATGTTCATGAGAGGGAGAAGCACGCCACGCGACGCTAGCTGTGCTCGTTCAAACTGGCACATACACTGTCGGACATGTGGCTCGACCCAGTTTTGTCGGAGGGCAGCAAGACTCGTGCATTCACCATGTGCATTCAACAACACATTCCACACATTCGGTGCTTATTGGGGACGATTCCATAAGTTCCGGTCCGAATGTCAAATAGCCCCGACTGTTCCTTGCACGGATTCGCCTATGATCTCCATCGCAAAAACTTGAGCAATGCGCGGAGGTGAAAAAGCAGGAGAACACCACCCTTCTTTACCGATAGTCATCACGACAACAACAAATGCGGCCAACCTGGATAAGCTGTACGGTGGTCGAAACGTCAGTGACCCCCGCGTGGTAAACTCGCCATTTGGTCGAACGTTGGAAAAAATTGTTTTTCTACATAGTGAGGAGAGAGGAAGTTCGCCCCGGACGTCGATAGGGGTTATTCCCATTAGGGGGAAAGAACAGACGCCGTGGGGGCTGCCGTGCTCCTCCGCCGGTCCATGCTGCTGCTGGCGCTGCGGCCATCCCGTCCTCCCCTTGGTACCGTCCCGGATCCACGCTTTTCCGGAGACAGAGCGTTCTTGGTCCTCTTCTTGTACAGGTCAAACTTGTCTTCGATATTGCCCCGCTCGAGGGTTTCGAGCGATTTCAACCCCCCGCTGCCTCTCCCTTGAATTTGGTCAGGACATAAACGGGCAAATATGTGTAGTCGCTTCTTGTTGCTGGAGGAACAGCGTCCAGGGTGATTCAACCGTCGGACTTTCGAAATGGACAATACTTCATGAGAAAAAGGTTTCGATAATCCGACCCAACCAAGTGTTGAGCAAGTACCACCATGAGACCTCCCCCGCCACTGTGAAACTTTGCTTCATAACGACGACGAAGTGGCCACTGCGACACAAGTGCTGTATCGCACACTACTGATGGTTCCGACACTTATTACCAGTAGACGCATTTGGAGACAGTGTAGGTTCTTTTGATTGTGCGTGACACTGACAGCTGGATTTGCTTGCATCTCACCCAACACAACCTGGCATCAACATTGCGTAAAATACACACCTTTTATAGGGGTTGTACAACTACACGCTTCGCGAAAAAGTAACCTCGACATACCCGAAACCTGTATAGAGCCCCTGCGCTACCGTGTGGCCGTAGCCACATGAGAGTTGGGCTCCCGTAAATCGCGATTGTTGGAAGACGAACAGGGCTGCATTCGGCAGGACGATGGAATTTTGCAGAAGGGGCCAAGGGACCTACGTTGTTCCTTCCAGCAACTCGATACGCAAGACACACCGAATCAGAGAATTTATACGGCAGTCACTCACTTGTTTCCCTTCCGTGGTTGCTTGGCTTCCTGACGCCAGAGGTGGATGGTTTCCTGGATCCAGGCGATGTTCGTCGCGGGCTGGTGAGGATATGCCCCCGTGGCGTGGACATGCCTTCTTGAATCACAGGGAGTTCCGCTATTCTCCTGCGAGGGATCAGGGAAAGGAAGAGAGTTTTGGATCACGCGACCGGTGATTTGATCCTGTACTACGCAGTTGCGCCGATGTTTCATCCGGGTACGCGAGAAGGATGGGATGGGTTCGTGAATGGAAGGTCGCTGAGGGCCTAAACCTGACTGTTGCAGTAGGCCGCATCCAACGGGGGAGCGCGTAAACTGTTTTAGGTTGCAACTCCGTCGACGTGACATAGGATGTTGGTGAACGACAGTGCCGAATATCCCGTCACAACTGTACGTCGTACCGCCCAAGCCATCTGAGCACGGCATCATAGAGACACAAAGTTCGGCTTGATGCAAACAACGTATCGTTGCCCTGACGTACCATCGTTAACGAGAGGTATAACGACGATTCCATCACACGGAGGTCCTACTTCAACGCCAGTATCAACTAACCTGCAGGCCCCGCACAAAGTGAGCGTTTGTGGTAACGTGCGATGTTCGCTTTCTTGTATATTGCTTACACGGAATCTCGTGCTTCTTTCTCCCCCTGAACCTCTTTCTGGTCTCACCCTGGCGCCTCTCAATCTTCTCCACCCCCGAGCCTTACCTTGATCCTCCTCCGTTGCTATCTCCCCTCCTGCTGCTCCTTCTTGTCTGGGGCGAAGAGGAAGGAACAGATGAAGGCGACGACTGCACAGGGGATCGAGACCTCGAGGGAGACCGAGAGCGGGAAGGGGAGCGGGCGACACCCCAGCCCCTATCACCGCCGCCAGCAGGCCGCTCTTCCTCATCCGACCAAAACACGCCATCCCCGCCGCTCCCGCTCCGTACAGAGGGAGGTGATGATCCGCCGCTTTGTCGGCCGCGGCTGGGTCGGCGGCGACCGTGGTGGTCGTGGCGGGGTTGGCTGCCGGCTGCAGAGGTGGGCGAGAGGCGGCGAGGGGTGCGTTCTGGCTCCGTAGCATAGGCGCTGCTCTTGTCGCTGCTGCTGCTGTCAGAGTCCGGGGATTTGCTCCGCCTTCGGCGTGTTCTAGCCTGTGCCACGGACGTTGATAGGGTTCCAGGTGGCGGGTTGTGTGGCGTAAATGCGGGGCGGAACTCTTCGAACGGCACACAATACGCCGAGTGATGTTTCACAAACATCCAGATGAGGTACATTAGATCATTTCGGAAGGTTTAGCAGTATTCTGGAACATGGAACTCACTCACGTCTTCGGTGCATGCTAGCGGCGCGGACACCGTTTACGTGACTACAGTAGCTGCTTGCATGATGTCTTTCCACCGGGACGACTGCATCACCCCATTGCCGGTGAAACTCCGACGTCAATGTGTCACCTCGCGTGTTCTCCGTGCGGAAGATGCCGATTGTTTTCTGCTGCTCCGCTTGGCTTTCGTCATCCGGCTGAAATCCCTATCACCCCGACCTCCTACGAACAATCTCCTCAACCGCACCAATATCGAAACTCCAGTCTTGCCCTTCTTCTCGTTCGATTGTTCACCACCCCGCCATGGTCCCAACGAGCTCAACCATCCACCCGTCTTCGGTGTTTTCCTCGGAGGGGGTGCCTGGGATATCACCTGCTTGACAACAAAACACCCGGCGTAGTTGACCAGGGTGCGGACTCACGTTCTCAATCGCACGTTCCTGGATAGGGTTCAACGTCATAAGTCGATTCTATGGATGGACAGCGACTTGGCGCGCGTATCACTCCCGTTATTCTCACGTACCTCTCTCATGTCGGACTCGGATACACCGGATTGCTTCATACAGGCACCTGTTGCGCCTGGGACCTTTGTCGGAGACTTGAATCGAACGGTGTAGGTGCCATCCCCGTCTCTTGACACCACCTGATGTGAAACGCGCCCGCCAAATAGTTAAACACGCCCGAGTGAGGCGGTTCGATGTCAGTGCTGTGCAACACTCACCGCCTTTCGTCTTCCATTTCAAACCGGCTCTCATCACCGTAGGCTTCAGTACTTCGATAGTGGCGTTTCGATCTGGATTTCGTCCAACCTGTATTCAGCATCGGTAAGAGCTTTACACTTAAGTCAGAGCAAAGGGAAAACAGGGAGGGTGATGGAATGGAGGAGCGACTGAGGTAGGCATGTGCCGCTGGTGTGGTGATCCCATGGTCGTGAAATAGATTCTTCTTGAGGAGTTTCCTGTGAGGGGCTGAACAAAATATCCCCACGGTCGCTGCTTCGACGCGCTAGACACGCGCTTCGAATGGTTTCAAAACCCTTGTCTGGATGAACACCTCTCTCCCGATGTATCTCACTCTGCAAAGCCACCCACCCAACAGTTTTAGGGCGATTTCGAGGATGTTGAAGAAACCGCTTAGGCTCCGCCGCACGTCGGATCTAGCAATCTGGAGATCACAAATTCAATAGGGTATTGGCCAGGCGGCATGGCCTTGATTGTACCGTTCTGTCAACCCGAGGTTTGGAGATGGTCCCCTTCCGTGAAGGGGCGAAAAGCGACCAGCATTAGAGATTGGGTGCCCAACGATTGCCTTCCATAAAATTACCAGCTGCCTCGCAGTCGAATCCGGAAATTGTCGGAACTCGACCAGAGGCGGTTTAGTTCCAGTTTTGAAAGTCATGCGGAAGGAACACGCGATGAGTGAAAGAGGCTGAAACGGTTTCTACGTCTGAGGTGAGAACTACCATATCCACTTGAACCAGAAGAAGCAGAGAGCCCGGCCGCGTTGCCCGCACGAACTTTCGTCTCTCGCACGACGAGCATCTAGCGTCATCTGTTCTAGTGGTACGTGCCAGTAGTGCCTATTCCGCTCTGAAACACCAACACCCACGTAGCAGTGAGGCATGGTGTGTGACGGTCACAGCACTCGCGGGGGTGAGCCCAAAAGGTTTTTCGCTCGGAAGAGAGGCGACGCCAACGACGAGACTGTCGACCGCCTGCACGTAGTATTTCCTATTACCACTGCTTCCGAGTAATGATGGTTTTTCGTTCTCGTCTCTCTGCTATCTCTGATTATGGCTCTCTTCGAAACGGGCTTGCTTGGCTTGTCGGTGTTTGAGAGCACACGGTTGGATTTAAGAGTCCCGTAGCAAGTGCTAACGATCGGCTGAATCGGTTCCTCTTCACCTGCGCAGGAACCCAGTCCACGCGACTCCCCCGCGATTCAACTCTGAGTTCCACAGCATCCCCCGACTGGAAACCTCCGATCTGAGCCAGCTTTCGCAAGTCCTTGTGGGTGCCAATGGGTAGTGGTGGGGGGCATGGGGAAGCGCAACCAAGTTATCTTGTGAGGAGTCGACGAAGTGTGCACAGTCTTGTGGATAAGAGCGTTGCAGGCGTACATTAGAATGATGTCTAGGCGAGCCGTTGCCACGATGCCGCCTGTGGCAGGAGATAAAAAAAGGCATGACTTGCGCCCTTCCGAAGAGATTGTTCTCACTACCTGCGGTTCCCCGCACCAACAAGGACAAGCGTGCCTCTGCCACCGTTTATCCATCTCGGAACGCCCGTTCTTAAGCCAGTCCCATTAGATCGGGTGCTTATTCTTCTATCGTTATCCTCTTGTGTGCTTGTTTAAGTCCCTGCCCCAGGGCCGTGCGACACGTCTCCCATTCGCGTTTGCTCTCCACGTGCTTGTGTCCATCCTTGACTTTCGTGCTTGTGGCATTAATCCTCGCCGTACATGGCTCACAAGCGAGTTCTCGCTTCTCTTGGTTATTTTGTCGGCTATCCCTCGATGTTGAGTCTCAACCATTCCCGCTTTCGGAATGGAAATTACCTTTGTGGCTGAACGGTTCTCCCGACCAGGGCAGGGACGTCATTTTGGTACCCTTAGAGTCCAAGCGTACCTTCACCCTCACAATTTCTACCCTTAGACTAGAGGCCAAGCGTACCCGCCTTCCTCTTTGGGTTATTTCTTCTATCTATGTACCTTGAAGAGCTCGTCGTAGTTAGCCTTGTCATCGCTTCCTTCTATTCGTGATCTCACGAGGAAAACGTCGTGCACTTGCTCCGCCGTCACCTCTAAGCGTACGCGAAAGCCGCGCCCGATTTTCGATTGCGCGGTATCGACAGCAATTTAGTTGATCACACCATGGGGAGCGGAGAAAAAATTGTCAAACAGGGGTCTGACGGGTGGTGGATTAGGGCATGGAGGTGTCGTGGAATCGCCCCACTGCTAGTTTATGCCCAGCCCCCGCCGGGAGGAAAATGATGGGAACGGTCGAAGTAGACTTTGCTGGAGATGTTCGTACTCAGACTCGTGATGTGTGGAGCAGTGCGGGTGCTCTCCTCTCGACAGAAATGCAAGATGTTACCCCCACGGCGACGCACATGCTACGGCAACAGAATATCTGTGAACAACACACAGGCAACCTGCTGCCTCCAACGGCGCAACGCTGGAAGCCGGCAGGGAAAGGGTGCCTACGGCTGCGCCCTGCAAATCGACCGCCAATGCTTACCTGGAGCGAGAGTTTCGATGGCATCGACGAAGCCGTCCTCATCTAGACACCGGTAGTTGCCGTAGTCCTGCGCCTCGAATGCGGCAAAGTACGCTTCCTCCCCCTCGTCTCGTAAAACCTGCGGCATGTTCCACACGCGCTGGTCCATGAAAACCGCATGACATTGATTCATTCGCACCTACAGCTTGTGGTTGCTGTTTTAAATTTTTACAACCGGTCCGACCTGTGTCCAATACCGTCTAGGCCAACTTGAGAAATAGGTTAAGATAAGAAACGCGCAAGAAGTTCCGTTGGTATCGCTACTGCTGCTGTTGCTGTTGCTGCTGCTGCTGCGTTGGACGGTGTACTGATATCATCAAACATATTGACTACGGAAAATTATTCATCTACCCAAGCCCTAGTGGTCCCCCTATTGAACCAAGCACGCGCAGATATCAAACCTCCGATAGATGCACGAGTACGACCCTCGACCTTTCGAGGAGACCCGTCTCCTCTTCCCCCGCATCAGCGTTTCTCGCATGCATGCCCGCTTTGTCCCCGGAGAGCAGACTTCCGGAAGCCCTTTTCCTGGTGACAGGGTGCCGTGCAGGCGCGTCGGTCACCACCGGAGCGGCAGCCGCAGCGGGTGCGGCAGCGACCGCCGTGCTGATCTCGGAGTAGCGGGGCAGCGGGGCGTTGAAATACCCGCTCGCGCCCAGGAAATCGACGTACCTCACCTGTCCCCGCACCACCCACCGCCTGTACAAAACCTTGCGGTCGGCATGAGTTAACTCGGCCGCCTGGCTCGGTCCTTCACGCTTGCCCGCCCGTGTGCCGGCGCCACCACCGCCACGTTCGCTGTCGCTCGAGGCCCACGCCCGTAGGCACTCCGAGAATGCCTTCACCGGGATGTTCCCGGAACGTTCTGGGTCCCGCAAGAGCAGCAGGGCTTCCAGCTCAGGGCCTCGTCTGGAGATGAGAGTTGAAACTTTCTCTTGAATAGGCGCTTCAACTCCTGGGTCATTAGGGCCTACCGAACGGTCGTCGTCGAAGGCGTGGGGATGGCAGGCTTCAGGGGTAAAGGAGGTTGCCCGTTGTTGGCCACCAAGAGTTTTCGGCCTGTGTTGCAGTCGGTACGATTTGCTGTGCTCATCAACATTCATTTTCCCCACAAGCGTAACATTCAGGCATACAGACCCACAAGATGTCGACTTCGGCAAAGAGTTTTGTCACACCCATAGCCACTCATCGGGCCCGTTTCATTGCAGCAAACCATGCGTGAAGCTCATGGTAACAACCAAGGTGATCTAACCAAAATTTGGGGCCCAAAACATCTTTCTATCATTCTCCCACACCGAGGTATTCCGGTAGTCATTTTCCGTGACAGATTGGTTGGCGAATCCCGCTGTTCTTTAACTTTCTGTAACAAGCAAGCAAGACACATCACTTCGTTCTCGTTGCACGAGGGCCTCAGCAATCGAGATTTGGGGGTACCTTGAGTAAAGATGGAGTCTGTTCTGCCTGTGCCCCGACGGCTTTTCCCCGCCCCCCACCCGTCGAAAGGCGAGCCTCTCTCCGACGCAGGCGGGTCGTCCGATCGGGACAGCATTAGAGCCGTCGCGAAGAACGGTTTTGGGCGCTTGGAAGACGTTGGTGTTGGTTTTATTCGGCACGTTGTCCGTGGGTTCGTACGGGGGATTAGCGCTCGGACCCGCGGGGGAGCATAGAAAAAGGGCGGCGAAGAAACGAACATGGATGGCTGTGGAATCCGTCGTGCACATGATAGAACGTCTGCAGCACCAGCTGTATATGACGATGGATCTTCGACGATAATTTCCCATGTTGTTGAGGGTCGCCTATCAGAAACCATCGTCGTGTGTTGTCCGCAGCTACCCCATCTCACCAACAAAAAGACAACACACCGTTGTTCCCCAAAGGGATGCGAACGAGGCGAGTGTGGCCACCCCGTTTCGACACCGAGGCTGGTGCACGGTTGCGGCACCATGAGATTCACTCGCGAGTCAGAGCGAAGCCGGCACTACTTTTTATTGCCACACACCTGTCCCAGGGTACCCTGGACAGGCATCGTGCATGCTAGCCCACCCGCTCTCGTGGTGGGACATTTGCCGAATCTCCCTTGGAAGGACCAGACATCAGAAGCGGGTGATGATTTTCAACGACAACGGTTCTCGTTACGGTGGAGGGACAACGCCGGCGGTAACGATGATGACATCGTCCGTTCGAGAGGAAAGACTGTTGCGGGTTGCTAATATCAAGACCATGCCCAGTGCAGACGCCACTGCGATCGGCAAGGACAATCATTGTGCGGCATGAACGCTGTACTCCACACCGGCACCCCGTGCAATCAAGGCAATATGCCAGCGCTCCCTGCGTACTGGATGCCCGACGAAGCGGAATGCCCTTAGCGAGGATGCCTAGATTGCGTAGGGAATAATATCATGTTTTCCAAGCATTGCACATGACGAGCACGACATCAATAAATATATTCTCCCCATGTCCAGGTGTACGTACGTGTGTGTGCGTGCATGCATGTGTACGGCTATGTGTAGATTTCACGTGTCTCATCACCTGCAGAACGCGTTGCCGCTAGAGCGCCGGTTAGGCCCATTTTTAGACGCTCTCTTGACTCTGCCTTGTGGCGGCAGAACTCAAGGAACTGTTTTGGGTTGGATGTTGGGGAGCAAGGCATTGGTATCGGGGCGGACAGCACAAGGGGTGGGCCAAGGGAATCGTCGGGACGCATCACGTCAGAATGTTGCATTCGGCACGAACATTGTTGAGCTATTGAACGAGTCCGGTTTATCGAGCTAACGTCCCTTTTCGGTACGGCAAGACAAAGCCTCTCTAACCGCGTGAGCAGGTCAAGAGTATTCCGACCATTGCCTGCGTTCTCATATCCGTTCAAGCGGGTGACGACATTTCTTTACCCAGCCAGAATAGATGTCGCTTTGGCCGTTGTCCTAGTGAGCTCCACCCCTGTCCCAGCATACTCAAGAACTCTCGTGGCAAATTTTCGGGCAAACCCTCACGGTACTTAGACCTCAAACTGTACACCAATCAACAAGGAACCTTGCAGCACCGCCGATAGGGCTGCTACGCACCTCTCCGTAGTCGACGCTCTGGTCTACTTCCCGGACGAAGCGCAGCATGAGGAGCTGCCTGTCCTCACGCGGCATGTCGGGAAAGCTTTCTTTCAAAGCGTCCTGTTCGTTGCGGGTGTGGTAGCGGTGGCGGTGGCCGTGGCAGGGCAAAGGGCGAACGGTAAGAACGAGGACAGGGTCGACGACAGGTGCCACGCGCTCGCGTGGTCAGACCAGTGCACGCTCCTCCGTTGCAGGCGCAGGCGGCCTATACGCCACCCTCACTGCATTCTCTGCACTTTTGTTGCTTGCCTAGGATGAAATTTGTACGTTTGTTTCAACTCGATGAGTACCGAAGAACTCTGTGGTCTCTGGTGTAGTTCGCCGATCGACCACAAGAGTGAGTTTCGGGGAGACATCGAAAAAACGTCCTCTTGGTGAACCCACAACGAGGAAACGCTTGGTTGAATTGGTGAGTATCGTAGCGCGTTCAGGCTCCCACAATCCCCCGCGACAGCAGTCACATTCCCGTCAGTTCCTGACAAGCGACACAGCGGCAGCTTGCACGGGAGTTCGTCCATACCTTGAAAGCTGCCCCGCCCAATGCCCCTGTGCGGCCGGTGTCTCTGGCAAGAAAGGCTTCCTGCAGGTCGTCTTTGACCTCGCCAATCCCGCACACGACGTGCTCGATGGCTTCTGCCATGTCGTGCTTGGCTACTCCATGCAAAACATCGGCCGTGTCGGCCCTCAGGGTGTCCCCGAGAACCGGAACCTGGGTTGGTAGTACCCCCAAAACACCACATGTCAATGGCCGCTGTGGTGCCGCTCGTTTATCATGTTGTAGGAGAAATTCTGGCTTTTTCGGGCGCCGGCCAATGGTCGCCGTTCTGGGGTTGTGCAAGAGACCGGGAAGACATCGAGCACGTCTCCTTGCTGTGCTACGCAATAGGCCAGCATCTCCAAGCCCCAACACGCTCTTAAGCTTCATGTCTTGCAAGGTTGTTTCGCATTGTAAGCTGACGAAGATGCCGACATCACTAGACACTCCTCGCCACCGACCTCTTTGGCAATGCTGTCGAACGTTTCCTGGCAACCGCCTTGCCTAAGAAGCTCCCATTTGAGAGCTTCGTTCCGCCTCTCGTGAAGCTTCACGTTCACCTGTAACGGAGACATGCGAAGCGCGTAGTTTTACAGCTTTGAAGGTTGCATTGGTACAGGCAAAGTTCGATGAGCTCAACTGCCCTGAAAGCAGGAGTTGAATCCTGAGGCGCTGTTTCTAAACTAGTCGTCGTTGAAAATGCAACAACGGGCATCGATGGAGCACCTGTTCTGCAGCCACCATTTCTGTCAACAGCTCGTTCTGAAGCTGTGCGACGCTTCTCTGCTCTTCCAGCTGGTCCGCCCTTGCCCTCTCTTCCTCCACAGCCCGGTCCCGCTCTAGCACCAGCTGCTCAGCGGTTTTCTACGGGAGTATCGGTAACCCCCGATGACAGCAATGTGCAGGACGTTACAACGCGTCCCATAAACACCCCTGTTAGCACGGTTGGATTAGTGAACCTTCGGGCGTTTCAAGGGCTATTTTCTTTATTTATTTATTCATTTCGTTTTTTGTCTTCCCTTCAAATCAGCGCTCACAGTACTAGTGCCGTTTACTCCAACCTGTAGTCACACAGAAGAGCCCCTCTCTACCCTCGCCTCCTGTGGTACTTTGCCTTCGATTTTTAATGCGAGAAGAGTGCAGCACTCTCTTCCCTCTGTGTACACACGAACTAGCGCTATCCACTAGGCCAGGAGCGGAAGCGAGAGAAAACCTCACTTGGCAAGAAAAGCTCGCTTGCGCCGGTATTCAAACCCCTGACCTGACCTCTAGAAGGTTGCGAGGATACCAACTAGACCACCGTCGCCATGGACATAATTGGTACAAACCAATAACTGCATATCAGTTTGGGTAGAAGCAGTGCGCGCCCAATCGTGGCCTGGGACTAGATCGCCCCTCGAAAAGTTTAGAGCCCTCTTGGGTCATACTTGACATGAATCAAACGCGAGTAACGGGCCAAACACTCGGTGCTAGCGCCCACAAGCAGGGTAACCATCAACGTCTTGCACCGCAGCCGAATACGCATCGCAACTGAATATGCGGTCTTCTTCGTGGGCGGGACCCATGTGTCTGGCAGAGAAATCACATGACTACAGTAGTGGAGCACCAGTCGAACAATGTGAAAGTTCGGAATGTACAGTAGGGGAAGACATGCAACCACACATCCCACGCGAAGGACAAGACCCCACTCCAGAATGCGGAAACCACACATGCCACGCGAAGGACAAGACCCCACTCCAGAATGCGGAAGCGTCGAAATTTTGGGCGCCTCACCTTGACCGCCGCGTTGACCACGTATGACTGCTCTTTTTCCATCGAGACGATGTGGGCTTTGAGGGCCGTGACTTCTTCCTTCATCTTCGTGTTGCTCGAACCCTGCGACGTGAAGTATGGCACAGTGGCAGAGATCCGCGATACTTTACAAGATGAGACCGGGCGACCACTTGTGAAAAGACCACTACAAAATACACGGAGTTGTGCCGTACAGGTGGGGCCCGCAAGTGATACAACGATATATAGAATAGTTAGACCCAGGCTTGCACGAAAAATAGCTAAATCTATCACATGTATTGTCGTCCGTCGTCTACAGTAGCCAACAAGTAACGTGAGACAGATTAGTCTAGTCTATGGCCATATCAACGGAGAGGTTACCCCGGGAAGCGGTTTATGTATTGTGAAACATGCCCGGACGACGACTAGGCCTCTCCCCTACGCAAACCACACGCACGTACGTCCAAGGGCTCATGGACCATCCAGTGCTAACTGCAGTACTGGGTCGGATGCACTCTCTACATCTTCAGGGTGAACCATGTACTGTACGTACACGGTAAGTCTTTCTGTGAGGTTATGTTTACTTTCCAAAAAAAAAAACGCATGCCAACAGTAAGAGACACACTTCAGTAGTGTATTGATCGGGGAAATGTATCAGACCCAAAATAAACCCTGTATATAGTATGCAGCAAGGTTCCCCCAGCACTCACTGAAAACACTCCAACACATCACGTTGATTATAAAAGGCGATTACATGCTCTCGAACAGGTACAGTGGTCTTCTGTGATTGAAATATAGCATTGACATGCGCCCGCCGACAGTAGTGTCGGTCGCACCGCAGCAAGGAGAGCGTTCCAAACCCGCACGTCAAAGCTCGGCGACATGCCTCGACACGTGCTGTTGATATAGGTGGCAATAGACGCGGAACCTTCCGCTTCGAGGCAGTGATGGAAAGGTGGCAAATGAGTACAATAGTTCAAACCTTATTATGCCCGAGCTATCACAACAACACAATAGGTTTGGCATCACAGCCCAACTGCTGATTGGTACACATTCGCTTGGCGGTGAACCTGAAGATACTTGTAGACTGACACCACTGCTGCGTACAGTTGGCATGATAGCATTAAACACGCTCACCATGACGCTTTCCTCGGCCTCCCGACCTTGGGTTGCTAGGACAATAATCGATTGCGTGCCTTTTATGCGTCCCAAGCTGGCCGCGACATCGAAGTCGGCATGAGAAGAAAAAGTGAAACCGTAACAATTCCGCCGCATCGATCTTTGGCGCAAATTCAAACCGCACACACACAGCAGCGTAGCACTGCAGGGCCATGAAGGCAGAGGGCGGCGGTCAAGTGCGGAAGGGGACACGGGTCGATTGCCTCTTCGGAGACGAGTATTTCAGAGGGAAGGTGGATGATACTGACGGCAGTGGCTCAAGCTATCGAGTGATATTTGACGACGGTGACATCCGAGAGGATGCACCACCGGAGGACCTGGAGCTTCCGCTTGAGCAAGGATGTCGAGTGGAGTGCATGTTTGAGGTTGGAGCACCTGTTGCGCTGCCTGGGATAAATCTATGATTGTGGGTAGGTCGTGTAGCTGCAGGGTGGAACGGTGTCGCATCCACCCGCGGGAGACATGGAGACTATTGGCACCCGCCATACAGTTCGGTACGCAAGGTTCACGATATATCATGTTCAAAGGCACGCTGCAGATAATTGTATTTCACCCCTTAATCTCGGTTGCAAATATCTGCGCTACTGCTGCCTAGCTGCGTCCACCTGTGCCCCTCAGATACTTTACGGATGGCACGGTATCGAAGAAAGACCGACGCTTGTCAACGTGGTGATGAATCTTTGAAGCACATCTCCGAATGCGTCCATTCGAGCAGACTACGGTTGGTTGTCTATGAATAGCTTTGTCTACACAAGGATCTTCGACAATGGCAACATGCCATCTGCTGACCTTGGTTCGGGGAAAGGTTTTACAGCAATTATCGCAGTTGTTGCTGCTGTTGATGCTATTGCTGCTGCCGTGTTTGCTGCTTCGATTTTTTTTTGTTTCTGTGATCTTGCTAGTCTTGGTCTCTCGGTGCCTCTAGGCCAAAGGCCGAGCCGATCAACTGTGTGTGGTGTTCTATCCTGCCGCAGTCCCCAAGTCAAGACGTGGAATTTTTTATCGTACAAACACTACTCTGAGGACGTGGCTAATAATGGACCAGGGCTAGATACAGGTCACATCAGGTACAACCAATCACAGTCCGTCCCGACCGTTAACGCATATCCGACGCCGGACACCGTCGTGCTGAAAGCTCGTGAGAACAACGCGTTGAAACATTGACCGACATACTCGCACGGCCGTCTGCTTTGTCTCACTATGTATCTGAACTCACACAACTTGTTGCCACGAAATCAAACGCAGGGTGAGGACGGCTATTTCGACGGAGTCATCTCGATAGATAATGGGGACGCAACCTACAAGGTGGACTTCGACGACGGTGATGTGCTGGATGCTGCGCCACGCCATGACATTCGCGTGCTTTCCTGGTCGCACGAGGTACTAATACCAAATATGTCCCATGAGACTCAGAAATAAGGGAACAAAAAAGCGCCGCTTTCTCTGCACCCGATTAATCGGGACACGATCGGAGGGATACACACCTGCTGGGCATTCTTGGAAATACGTAGTACGAATTCATGGGGTTGATGGAAAACTCGACAGAAGGACAGCCACATCTCACATCCGTGACGGCCATGCTCCTCTCGTGGAACGACCTGCGGCCGCGACATGTCTCTCACGTGACACCACGCCCGTTTACTGTCCCAAAACCCCTGGTATGATACTTGCAAGGAATCGGCACCCAGCAAAGCTGTGACAGCGGAAGACAACAATACCAACGTAGCAGAGCAAGAGGGCACGGGTTTCGACACCAGATACAGCGATCGCAGTCACAACGAGGCGGAAAGCGAAGGAAACCGTGAAGCGCAGAAAGATGACGAAAATAGTAAAGTTATTAGTGCGGCCCATGGAGAGCTTCCTCCTGTAGAAGAAACGCACGATTCGCCCCGCCAACCGCAGCGGTTCTCGGAAGTCGACGGCAGCGAGGATGGGTACGGCAGGGCGGGCGATGAACCGGCCGGAACGAGCCAACATGGATCGTCACCGAGACGCAATTCTAAGCAGAGAGACAAATCGGACACCAGCAATAGCGACAGCGTCATCAACAACTACGGTGACAACGGTATCGCGCAGGAAACACGGGATTGCGATTTCGGCCACGACATCCGTAGTCGTGTGAAGGAGGCGCGATCAAGCACCCGAAGTGGTGAAAAAGGCAAACCCCATTCTCAGAACGATGCTAGACGTTTCCACTGACCTTCAGAGAGAGAATAGGCGAAAAGGAGATCGAGAACAAAGGGCCGGGCAGGCAGGGGGAATCGGCTTGTGTGTAAGGGAAATGTTACAAAATAGAGTCTCCCTCGTGCCTGCTCCTAGACCTCCTGAAGGGTTGATGACACCTATTGTGGGTAACATACTCAACCTATTCCCCGCCCGCCACGCTTCTATGCTATCGAAATATCTTCGAGGTTCTGTATCGATCAAGGATCTCTCCCGGAACCCCGTAATTCCCTCTCCTGTGTTGTTCCAACCAACCTCTCTCCATCCTCACATGCCTCTCTCCAACCAAACCACTATCCATCCGCTACGCACGTGTGATATTTCTATGTGTTCCTCTTTTTACGTTCCTGAAGACCTCGGGTCCAGCTCCGGAGAACCGCAGCGCATCCATGATAGCTGGACGGGGCGGGAATTGAGGGGGACACTGTCGAATCGGAACGAGCCTACCACAGAGCTGGTGCAGGCATCTTCGCTGTACGTGCCAACGTCACCTAACCCATTGCACGCGCACCTGGAGGCATTGGCGGCGGCCGCGCCGCGTCTTCTCGCGGAGGCTCCGCCGGATTTTCGCCTCTCAGCCATATCGCACCGGATCGCTGTTCTCGAGGAACAGCTGCGGCAGCAGGTCGGAGGGGTGCTGTGGCCTTGTGGCAAGGGTGGTGTAGGAGAATAAAAGAGACGCACTAGCCGTTTGCAAAGGACCCTACGGAATCGCGCATCGTCGGCACAAACCGCAAAACCTGCACTCGCACGTTGGGTTGCGTTCGTTTCGTGGGCATTTTGACACTTGAAGGAGATATTCTCGTCAAGCACCGTGGCATCGGTACTCGCTACCATATTTTCGGTTTTGAGCCCCATGGACTATGCCGTGCAAGACGTGTTTCGAAACAGTTCGCCGCGAGTGAGTTACGATTGTAGAAGTATCTTGGTTGTCTCGCATGGCCAAAGGATCTCAAGACGGGCCGGCAGTGATAGATGAATCAAAGGACGTGTTTGTGAGTCCTCTGCTCCACATGTCACCCCGAGGTATCAACTCTAGATGATCCATATCATCGCTCTTGCAGCCTACTTGTCCGAAGCGGTACCTTGTTGCTTGCGAGGAACACGTGCTACATCGATTTCGCTTCTAGCACCATTTCGTTCAATGGCACAAACTCCATCGAGTCCAACCGTGTACGGATGTTTCGTCCCCTGTTCTTTGGCAGGAAGCGAGAGGGGAAGCGTGGCACCTTCCGGTGTTTTCCGCTGAAACGCCGCTACACCCGGCGGACCCCTCCCTCCGCGGAAGGCTGGAACGGCAGGGGCGATCTGACCCCGAACAGGTGTCCGCCGAGGTTAACAACGGCGTTTCGGCGCTCTCAATACGCCGTCAGATTTGTCGATACTGTCATTTACGTTTGACTCCCAAACATACCGGTAATATCGAAGTGGTTGCTCTACGTTTGTGTGACTTGATACATGTTTTCCCGGTAACCCCAAGGCTACCGGGAGCGGTGGTGAAGGTAGCCCGAGAGCAACCACCGCGAGGGGAGGCGCCGCGGCACCGTCATTTCCCGCCCACGCAGAGCTCCGCCAGGTGGCGGAAGACCTCTCGACTCTCCGCATGAAACAGGCAAGGGACACACACCCGGATTTCTCGCGTACGTTTCCTGCCTTGTGTTGACTCAGGAAGTGCACCGCTTGCCCCTGTCATATTGATGGGTGCCAGGTTCAAGCGACAAGCCGGACTTGGTGTTTGCTTGGTGTAGCGTACCGCGTCTTGGTGCACACGTGCTGCAGCGCTGTGCACGGTTGCGTGGTTGGCGTTTTCTCTCTGGACGCGACGTGCGTGTCTGGCGAGAGGAGGCGTAGACACTACGGGTACAGGTTGACCCACGCCGTGGCTGCACCCCATAAAAAACAACCCGGCTCCGAATGCATGAAAGGCTAGTCTGCGGCAAACAATGCCCGCGAGAAACACAAGGTTATCGCCGGAAGCAGGGAACCCGCCGCTGTCGCCATCATGATGATTCGCTGGGGTTCTCGTACATGGTACAGATAGCTCTGGTGAGGCTATGCTACGGGGACGCTTCGCTGGAGATGGTCCAGGCAATCGCAGACCTTGCCGACGGCTACGCGAAAGAAGACCTTTGGCCCCAGGCAAGCAGGAATATCGTCGTTGGGCTAAGCACACTCCACAGGGAGAGGTCGCAACGTGGACGACATGTGTTGTTGGCTATTGCCGCCTGTTGCTGGCCATTGTCACCAGACCTGCACTATTCTACCTTTAAGGGGAAGACTTCCAGCAGCTGCAGGTCAAGTTCCACATGAGTGCATCCATCATCGGTCATAAGAAGGGCGAAGTGTCAGGGTGAGGATAACGTTTTCAAGAAAACTGAAGTGCTCGCGACCGTTCCGTCCGTCCACGAGCTGTTGCAGGTGTCGAACCATATGGCGAGGGCAGCGGACATTCTTGCGCGTGACAAGGGCTCACGTGTCCCGGGCAACGGGTTTTTCATTACCGCAACCCCTGGTGGCGGAACCTACGTGGACCCCCGTTTGCGTTTCAAGGGGCACTCAGGTTTGCGGGGGGATGAACCGAGAGGAGGGTACCCTGAAGGGCAAAGGGCAAGAGGACTTGCGTTCCCGACGGAAAACAGGTATTGTGCCTGTTTAAGAGTGTTGTGGTTGGTGGTGGTGACGGTGGTGGTTGCGGTGGTTGCGGTAGTTGTTGTTGTTGTTGTTGTTGTGTTGTTAGCTATATATGTATCGATTGCGGGGAGTTCGTCGGCGGGAAAATTCTCGGAACCAATGCAATCAGTCCGCTCATCGTCGAACGCCCTGCAGCTTGAGCAGACCGAAGAATCCATCTAGACACCCTGCACAAGCGACGTTCTACATGTGACTTCAACGCAGTGTGTTCTTTTTGCCTTTCTCCTACCAAACACCATAAACCCGTTTCATTGGGAGAACATAGCTTCCGTCTGCTAACTCCTCGGCCATGGACTTGTACGCGTCGGGCATGGCAGGTACTCCGACCCGGCCTTGTGTCGCTCGTTAACCCAGGCGCGATCTGCACGCCTGTTGCTGGAGTTGTTGAAGGGCCTCCGATTGTCGGTGGTTGAAGGGGGTGAAAGGGGTCAGGTGAGGAAAGGCATGACACTTGCTGATGGTCGTTGTTGATACTACCACCATTCACAAGGGATGTGCAGCTACGGCGGAACGTCTAACGGCGATCTCCTATTAGCTCGCCCTCCCTCTGGTCCAAGGAAAAAATGTGTTGAGTCATCATGAAAAGGTTTGAGAATCCTTCAATCCCCCCCACTTTAAACTATTCCCGTTTGTACCCTCCATCGATGGAAATATCCACCACCTTAGGTTGAGCGGGAAAATTTCGAGGCTTTCCTCTCGACCCACAAGGACAAGGCACTGCGATCTGCCCGTCACCGGCTGCTTCTAGAAGCCCAGATGCCAAGCAACTGTGGGTGGGGCGCGGCCCTGGGTTGCTTACGGCGAAACTCGCCCTTGTTCGCCGACCTCAACCTCAAGGTGACGGGGGACAGAATCATGTAGCCTCAGCAGTGGGTGAGTGGTTCACGCTGGGCGATTCTCCTTGTCCACGAAATATGAAGAAACGCGTGACCTGTGTATTGTATTTGCCTGCGTATTATATCCTTGTACTGTAGTGTAGCGTAGCGACAATCGCGGTTTCTACAATCTTGCCGAGGATGACGCGGGCTTTGAAGCAAATGTCGGAGCTGCGATCACAAATCGTGCTGACTCCGGGCATGTTTCACCCCTCCAATCGCCTCAATTCCCTAGCGAAATGATGAAGGTGCCCAGATTGCTGCGTGCACCATTAAAAACGACCCTCCGTTCTCAACTCAGCTGTATCGACACCAACAATAGTAGCACAACGAACACAGGTCTTCATGTCATGTATTCGAACCTGCCCGTGTGATAAATGCTAATGGGCCATGCTCAACTCCTCCCCCATTCGGAATTGTTCTCGAAACTTACCCTGCCTTGAAAAATGTCCCAAGATTCACTTCTAGGTGATCTTCCGACAAGAGGGAAACCCGCCGCCCTGCCCCCCTCCTGAACCCGCACTGCCGCCCCGCACCCGTCGTGCCCGGCCCCGCGCAGATCATGGAAGGCGTGCAGCAGAAGCAGGCCGCAAAGGTTCGACTAGCGTTTCAGGCGGTAGACCCCGACGGCACAGGATGTGCCGAGTCTGAGGTGCGAAGTGATCTCAGCGCCGATTTGTCCCGTCCGTACGCATTCCCCGTGTAGATAGTGGTTAATGTAGTGTTTTCTGGCACATGAGCGTGAATCAGTACGTGGCTACGATATCCTCACGGTTTCACGTGGATATCGGGTCAGAGTGAACCGTGACACACACATGGAAAAGAAACCGTTTATGAAGCAAACAGTTGTCCGTACAGCAACGGGCATGCCACGTCATACGCATGCTTTCAGCCGGTACGGTGTTTCCCTTGAGTTGGCAAATGAGAAAATGATCCAATATTGGTGGCTACAGTAGAGCTGTGTCTGTGCCAGACTTTAGGTGGCGCATGACCACTGAAATTCGATTGTAGTGGTATAGGCAAAAGAGGTATATTCTCAGCATCTCGGCCATGTCATCACCTTCTCGTCAACCACGCTTAGGAGCGGGGTAAGCTGTTGTTTCGGTCATGCGAATTTGGCTTGAAAAGTCATTGGTCTAAAATCGGCGTTGTGGTTAGGTGCACATTGTCCGGCGTTGTCTGGCGAGATCACAAATAGTTAGTTCGACTGAATATATGTTCTTGGAGAAGAGATTAATGGGCCGTCAATTGAGTTATCCCTTGCTGTAGGCGATCGACTGCGACCTCGCATCAGTGGCGACGAACAACCCTCCCTGCTCCCTCACAAGACACGTGACTCGCCCTATCCGAACTTCACATTTCAGGCGCTCTTGAGCGAATTGCACGCCAGGTTCAGTCGCAACGATGGAAACCTTTTGGAAGCGGTATATCCTCATTTGTTGTCTGCAGTAGCGGACCTTGTTCAAGGCAACTCTCCGGATGGCGCTGCTCAAGACGAGCTTAGGAAAACACTGGGGCCGGAACAAAATCATGCCACACCCGTCACATGGGAAGAGGTGGGAATCACACACTTCCAAGGAGGTGCAGAGGAGAAAGAACTAGTGGTGTGGGAGTGAGAGTATTGAGCTTGATCAAGAGATGAGGGCGGTTATCGCGCAACTGATCACAGCTATCTTGGGCCGAATCTTCTGCTTCCCTCTTCCATCCTCTGCGGCTTTGTGTAGGACCGAAAAATTCCAGAGTATTACACAAGAGGAGGTGGATACAGATTTAGGTATCGTTTTTCAATCGACCCACACAAGTCGTCATGTCGCCGAACTCGCCAAATGCAATGATGGGAATGATACGGTCAGATACTGGCCCTAATGGTAGCGGACGACGAGGAGGAAACGGCCGTCGAAGGGAGAGTGGGAGTTGCGTGGCAACGGCTGCGCTCGCTGCTCCACGTCCGAGTCCAGACCCTCACTGGAAGGTGAGTGGTAACGTGCGAACGCTGCGCTCCAGATCCGTGACGCAACAATGTGCTGTCGTTCATGGATACAGAAGAACCTTTTCCTCTGGTTCGGAATCGCACGACCGTGCTTTGGTCGAGAAGAGGTTTCGACCGACGCCCTCTGATCACGGCCGTTTGAACCGCTAATGCGGCATCGCCGACACGGTCCACAAGGAAAGGCATAGATGCCTTGTTTGCCAATGGCCTCTCCTAAGCGTATAAATCGGGGCAATTTTCGTCGAATACCGTGTACGCAGAACAAGTCTTGCGCAAGCTCATCCCGGGTCTTTCCTGCCGTATCCGGCTGTTTACAACTGGAAACAGGTGCGAAACTCACACCAATCGGTTGGCGGCGGCGTCTAGAAACCTGTCAGAAGCACTGGCCGAGCTAGAAAGGTAAAATAGATTGCAATAGCGGTGGCGGTTAATACAATGGTAGCTTGCCCGCAATTGTCACTTCACATCACCCATGTGTACATCAGCCCAAACATTGTCTAGCGGTAGCAAACCAAGATGGTACGATGGAGACTATTTTCTTCCCATCGTTATTGCGTTCCGTCTATGGTGACAGATGGTCCAGCCCTTCCATCCTTGCCCCAACAAGACCGCTCACCCCACCCCATCCCCACCCCGCCTCGCCCTGATGCCAACCTTAACATGAAACATGTCGCGTAGGTTGGGCCTGGGGGAAGCCTCTGGCAGCGTTCCGGTGCTCAACGCTCTCACGGACGCCCTTGCCCTTACGCACCGGCGACACCAAGAGGTACCCAGCGCCGTGGTCGTCTGCTGGCAGCCACCAGAACAGTAGCTGCATTGGTTCGCAGTTCGCCCAAGAAAATTCCGCACGACAGAGAAGCAATGACGACGAAAAATCTGTATACTTTTTGGTTTGCGGTGCGGCAAACGTCCCCGTCAGGAGAGGATCGAGTATTGTCTCGGAGAATATAGCATCGTCAAAGACCGCGCCCTACATATGCAGGGAAAGTCACATCTGTGCTGAGGCGCGTTTTAGGAACCAAGATACTATAGGATCTAGGATTTTTCGGTAGTGAATCAACTACGGTTTTCACCGTCCAGCACGCAACGATGGCGCACAGATGTCATCGATCAAGGCGAAGAAGCTCGCGGAAACGTGGATTCAAGGGAAGGAGGGGCAAGATCTGTGGAAGCAGGTGTGTGCTCTTGATCCGCATGGGGAAGCAAGGTGCTTCGTAGTTGTGGGTGTCCCGGTGTGGTCACATGGACAGGTCCGAGGAGCAAGTGACTTCGCTTATCCAATGAGCGAGGACCAGTCCGCTCCACATACTTTGTTCGGAATACCCCAGACGTGCACATTGGCACTGATTGAAAACATAGAGGCGAAACATTTTCTCGATGACAAAAGGGATGACCATAACTTTTTCCCCCACAACAATTGACCCGCGGGGAACAGGAGTGCAAACGGCTCGTGTTGGAGTGCCGGCGAAGGCTGGAGGTCGTTCCACGTGCAGAGGTGCGAAAAGGGGGCACCTTTGCTTCACGATACGTAACAGCAGGGAGGCCGTGCGACGGTCTTGCGCATCGGGTCTGTACGTTTGTATTTCCCCTGCTTAATAGGCAAGTTCCCCAAAAGAAAAAGTTCCGTCTCCGGTCTTCTCGGCTACTCCCCGGCCGTGCTTCGTACTCCCGGACTCGCGCTCTGGCTTTCTGCTCAAGGGGCGGTGCTGCGGACCTCGATCGTCTTCTTTCAGGCTTACCTGTCGCCCCGCCCGATGACGAAACCTAGCTCTGGCCGTGATGTAGCTGACCAATTCCGTGAAACCGACCAACAATGCTTCCGCTCGCGATTCTCAGATTGAAGAGAGAACTTGGCAGGCACTGGTGGCGTATCGCTCGAAGATCCTAACGCGGGAGCTCGGGGGGAAAGGAAAGGAGCTCGACACTGCTGAAGACTATCTCGTGCGGTAAGCCTGTTATAAGCGGGAGGCGAACGCTCTGCAGCCACACTTCACATTCAAACTTGGATCGCGGTATAACTGAATCTTGTTCCATACCTATTATTGCAACAGAACTCATGGAATTTGAACCGGTACGTGTATTCCAGGGTCTGGGAAATTCTCGAGAGCCGGCACGGGAGAAACGACCCCGACGTGGGAGCAGCCTGTGTTTCGCTTGGAAGCCTTGCGGTCATTCGCCGCAGGTTGAACGAGGCTATCGACTGGTTCCGACGGGCCCTGGGAACCTTCGAGGTGAATAGGTTACGTCCGCAAAGCCCATTTACGGAACCTGTAGCCCATGGAAAATGGTTGAACGGCTTCAAAGACGAAGAATATTGACAGAGGTATGCCATGGCTGTCTCGTGTGCACGGCTGCAGCGAGCTCAGGCATCATGCATCATGCATCACCCATCCGATCGTGCGGAGCTTTTCGTCTCGTCAGACCCAGCATAATATATGGCGCATAGATACAGTTTCGTGTCCATGCCGCCTCCAGGGTAGGCTGTCGATTTTTCAGAGTTCTCCCTCGACCCCAATCCAACACCATCGCATGCAGGAGTGCTTTCCTGATGGATACACGCCCGTCACGGCCAGCACGGCCGTGGCTCTCGGCAACCTATTGATCAAAAAAGGAACAGCGGAGGCGGGAACACGAACTACCCGTGACAGTCAGGCAAGGAAAGGGAAACAGTACCTGAGACAAGAACCGATTTCAATAGAAGCCCAAGAGTAAACAACTGGCTCGTTGAAACGATAAATATCCGCCGACACCACCGCTGGTATCCTGCGTGAAAGAACGCTGTGCACCTGATGTTGGACATATTGAAGTTTTCAGACATGCAAACGCTGTTCCCATCCTGGGGTGGTGATAGACATACAGTGCCGACTTGACACATCGAAACAGACAGGCGCGAGCTCCCGCCTCGTCCACCGCTGCTGGGAGGATTGCAGCGCCGAGCGACGCCTGAGAAGAGAGCCACCCATCCTGTGTGTTTGTCTTCATGCCCCCCCCCTCCCACGTCACCCACAATTGTGCGCTTCTCACCGGACAGGCGCTGGAAGAAGCGACTGGGCTCATGGAGAAGGCCGCTACGTTTTACTCTGAGCGGGTGACAACGGCCGCTGAAGAAGATAGGAGTGCCTTCGTACGTCAAGCCACTGTGAGCATTTGAGTGACCGCGTGGAAAACGTGGGGTGGATCGGGCGGCGACTCAAAGCAACTGCTTTCGGAATCTCGGTCTAATGCCTTGGTAACCCCCTTTTCGCTGTTGAGGAAGCGCACGCGAGAAAAAAGGCACTCCGAAAAGAACGCTGGGTCGTACACGGGTACCTGTTCCATTGCCTGGTGGATTGCAATGCTTGGATCCAAACCCATGCTCGGCTGGAGCTTCCCCATGTACACGTTCACGGCCGTCAAGGTTGGAGATTCACTTCCAGCGTTTATGACTTGCAAACTAGCAGCATTCCCTATCGGCGTTGGTGTTTCTCTGCCAGAGCATTGTTGCTCGAGCAGTCACTGAATCGATCCTTCGAGCCAGACCCAGAACAATCGATGCGTTGTCAACAGGCGTTTCATTATTTTTGTTGCTGTGGTGTCCAGGAGGACGCGTTTGCTTGGAGCGACTCCGACCCCGCAGCATCGAGGCTGGACCCACAGACGGCCGACTTCGCTTGGCGCTCTGCAGAGCTCTGGACGCAAGTGGCCGGTCTGAGGGAGCTTGCCGTTGGGCACCAAGCCGGTCACCAGGAACGGTCTGCGGAAGACACTGATGTCGGGACACTTGCGGGGGCGCTAGAACAAGTAAGACCCTTGCAGGCTCGCGAGATCACGCACCCATTTCGCACCGAAAAGCGTATGAGGAAGGCACGAAAAAGATCAATAGATCCAAGAAATTCCATAGTCCAGGATATTGAGTGGTCTTTCGCTCCGCGTTTTCAAATCCTTGTGCTTCAAACTCACCAAACGGCACTTCGCTGGTGATCGACGCCATTTTGAACGTCCAGGCTGCACGCTCCACTTCGATCGCTCGTGGGCCTTGCAGCGCGGCGCTTGGTCGGTTATGTCGGAGGCTAGGAGAGGTCCTACAGGTAGGTCAACCAAACCGTGTACCCTTGTTGTTGATTGCAAGCACGGCACCACACATCGAGACTGTTCTTGTGAGAAGAAGCGAAATCCGAGAAGAAATGTATCAAACTCTTCCCGACGTGAGAACCACAGGTAGACAGAGGTCAATGTGCAAGCTTTTCAATTTCTAGAATGAAACCACTACGACGAGCTGCTCTTGTACTTCCGATAATGCAATTGCTGTAAAGGCGAAAATGAACCGTGATACGAACTTGCTGCACGTTTCGCACGACATGCGCGTCTGCATGCCTATCCGCGCAGGAAGAAGGCCGGCACGCACGAGCAAGGGATGCTTTCTCTCAAGCTCGCGCGATATTCACCGACCGCTTCGGTAGAAGCGATCCTCGCGCAAGAGCTGCCGCCGCCGCCGCTGCCGAGGCCCACAGAAAATTTCCTCCCCCTTCCCCGGGGGCTGGCCGTGCCTATAACTCCCGTATCGGGGCGCCAAGGTAGCGGTCCAAATTCTTGCTGGAACATGCAAGGCGGTACTACTCTGGGGTCAACGGAGTTTTCTGGCGCAACCTGTTGAAAAAGGCGGCCGGGTATCGCGGAAGTCTTTGTGCGGGGCAGGGGTTCCACGAATGCCCAGTCAACTCAAGCGTTCTCTTATTTTCGGGAAAGTTGGGGAAGATCGAAACAAACGAAACAATGTATCGCCATTTGTGTTTGACTCGAGGAGAGATAGCGGCGAGGGACCACGTCGTAAATCCGTGTGGTAAGTCTTGCCGTCTTGTTGACATGGCGTTGCCATCCGGAGGACGACTACCGTACGTGCCGCTCGACGATGAGAATCGAGGCAGAAGCGAACGATGAGGAATTGGACTTAAAGGTTACCGTCCAACGTGTGAACATTCCCTCCGATGACGGGGTAGTGAACACATTGCGGCAGGAAACCTCCCCCGGACACGCTTGTGCAGCATCTGTACATTCCCGCCCCTGCGTCACTTCTTTGCGAATACGCTATCAACTGTAGCGATTCAATCTTTATTGGTTGTTCCCTTGACGTGGTAAACCCCCTAGATCCCTTGCCTCGGCGCCTTACGAACTGCAGAACGTCGCTGCCACCCGTGCGAAAATATACCTGCGCAACGTGAGGTTGGTTCACTGAGACAAAATGCACCAGAACGCCGTCGTCAAGTTTCATCAGCCCGAAAGCGCCGAGGCGTTTCGCGCTGCGATGTTGCACGTACTCCGTCCTGAACTCAAAACAACCCGTCAACCAACAGTACCGCTAGAATCTCTCTCGAGGGTCTCCAAACGCCGGACTAGCTCCTGGTTCTCGCGCGCCAAGAGCGCATTCTCCTGTCACGGTGCGAGGGGGAGTCGACGAACGATGGCAGTTAATAGAATCAACCAAACACGCAAGACTAAAACGAGGAGGGTGTGACCAAGTGTCCTCTGACAGACGCACGAATATGAGCCTATGCAATTACTCGATGGTCGGCAGCGTGCCCTCCGCGGCGACCACCCCCGATTGTGCTATTTAGCGCCGGCTGCCGTTTGAACCGTGCGGGCGGTATTCCGAGCTTCCTTGTCGGAAACTCCCACATCTTTTTGAAGTAATGTCTCCGAAGACGTCGTACGGCGTGTGCACTCACGGCAAGAATTGAAAAAAGGGGGAACGTAGTCCATTTTCCCGCACCTGGAAACATAAAACCGAGAGGGTAGGAACCCTCGCGACCCAAGTCACGTTTCTGGGCAATGTTTGCTTGCCTGAGAATATATTGCGCACAGCATTTGCGGCAGTATTTGGCCCTGGGGGTCAAGCGCAGTCCCCTAGACAATAAAAGGTGCACAACGGTGCACGAGGTCGTATCGCAGGGTTCTTATGCGAGAATGTGCGCCAGCCCTTGATGTGCCATAGAGTACACATCTCAGGTGATATTCCAATCGGACGCACGTTGAAGGTCGTCATCGGTTTGTGTACCATGCTTATCTGCCTCCGACACTCGTTCGATTTCAAGTCGTGCTGCAAACCAAGGCCCGCCATCTGACCGTATGTCATTGCCAACGCGGAAATCCCAATGTGGTAAGTTTGTTTCCACACCTTTCGCAGCTGTGCCGTCCGTTCTGTCTCGACCGTCAGGGCATTAACACGGTCCGAGAGCTTCTCCGTGAGCGTTACCCACTCCTGAGCCTCTTCCGCGAACTCTTGGCCAAGGCTACGCTCCTCTTGACACTTCTCCTCCAGTCGCTGAGATTCCTGAAGAACAGGCCAATTAGGGTGCAGAGGTTGAGACCGTGTGCATGTCTAGCTTGGAGGCTGTTCACGGCGATGTAATGGCAGATCAATTCGCTCACGCCCTCCTTTGAAGGTTGTCACCGCAGAACTTATACTGCAAAGTGCTCTGCATGACGGAGGACGGGGCTGGTTGGTTGCGTTTGGGTGGGAAACAGCCGTTCCTGGATTCAAGGTACCGAGAATACATCGAATGCCTGAGCCACGCGTAGAGTTCCAATTCCCCCCCCTCTGAAAGGTGGAAGAAATTAAGTCGGCATGCACGGTCACGTACAGGCTCGTCTTCTCACGCCATTACGGTATACAGTAAGAAGTGTTTCCGAGAATGCGGCTGCCCTCCCGAGAAATCCGCGGCACGGTGTCACATGTCTTCTTTATTCACGTGATCAACGACACCACAGGGGACACCTCCGAAGCCACCCTGAGCGTAGTTCTTGGATTCCATAAATGTTGATGAAAATGTCGTCCCTTTCATCAGCAAGCACTTCCGAGCTTTGTAACCTGCAATCGCTCACCTGCATCGCCTCCCAAAGCATCTGGTCCTTGACACTCAGGGCATGCTCGTAGCGATCTGCTCGTCGTAGAACCTCGAGTCTTTCCGCCGTCTCGTGCTGGCAATCGCAAAAGCCGAAAAGGTTACAGTAATGTTTGGGGAGCGTGACACACCTCCACGAAGCTTGGGTGCATTCGTTGCCGATTCTCGAGCCGACTAGCTCACACCATCCCAACATCTATATTCTTGACGGAACTTGAAAGGCCAGTACACTATTTTGCCACGCATACGACCGAGGGCGAACCATATTTCGTTCTGCTGGCGCGGTACATTGCACCGCACTGCTCTCCCACGTCCGGCCTTGACCGATAAGGCTACTACAGCCCATACGATTATTGTGAAGAGGCGATGTGTCTCCGACTTGAAAGGTCTCGGTTGCACCGCTCTTCCGAACCATCAAAACCGCCACATCCCGCTAAACAGCCTTTCGAACGCACGGCCATAATGAGAACTACCCCCAATGGTGCCCACCGAGAAATCATCGGCTTGCACATCGATGCTAGGATCGAACGGCTTGTTAGCGACTCGGTCGATGGAGTTGCACAGCTCTCGGTAGGACTGAACCAACTCCACCATTCTCTCCGTGCCTTCGAAGTCGGGTGCGCATCTGTAAAGAAGGACATCAGGAGGAGCGTGACATGAGGTACTGCTTATTGTTGTTGGTTGTTGTAGTTAATGTTGGTGGTGGCGGTCGTGACCACGATGGAGATATTGTGTTTCCGCAGTAAAGCAAATAGAAAGGGCTACACGTATCGGTGTAGCTGACATATTCACGTGCGTACATGGTGGTCGACGATTGGGGCCGACCGAAAAAGGTGCGAACCGTCAAACAACAACCCCTGGACTACTCACAGCGCATCTGTCCCAGTACTTCCACCATGCTTCAAGGAGTTTGCGTCACCTTTTCGCGGTGTTGTGCACGGTGGCTGAGCACGGCAGGGAGAAAAATACAAGCGGGGCCCAGCTGTCGTGTTTTGACAACAAGCCGAATGTCTCAATACTCTAGTGTGGGTGACGAGCGTAGATGGACGTACACTTCGTACCTCGTTTTTGACGTTACGGCCTCTAGGCTCTGTAAGCAATACATCCACGTGCCTTGATCACCAACCACGTTTCCATGACAAGTCCCCGACGGCAATTCTGAAAACGTTGACGGCACCCACGAAATTCCTCCAACGTCATAGCTTCTTCCGTTCCGAGACAGGAGCCGACTCATCAACGCGGAAGCTGAACGATGGGAAGCAAATCGTGGGCAATCGGTCGAAGACCAAAGTACCCACGAAAATCTGCGTCACTTGCGCTTACCCGCCGGAAGGATCACCTCGCCGTAGACATACGGTTCTGTTCTCAACTGCTGTAATATAATGTTTGTGACAATCCCGTGGTCTACACTTCCGTCTCGCATCGAAACACGTTTAGATGATGCGGGATGTGTGTGACCACGGCAACAACGACCATTCCAACCCCCGTCCCATTCCTGGTAAACTCACGCTGCCGAAGGAGACATGCTGCCGGGCGTTGAAGAAGGCAGAAGGGTAACCCTAGCAACCTGAGGCGATGAGACCGGCACAACATTCAGGAAAGGCAATGCGAAAAAGATATCTAGATCGACACGAGGCTCCTAGTGTGTTTTGCGGTTCAAGAGACGCAAAAAGGGGCCCTCGCAACCGGTGTGACGATCCACAAGCGACATGTTCGGTACCGTTCACCAAGAGCAGGTTACATATGGACAACCGCACCTCCTTCCGTAAGGGGCAAAATCAGTGAAAAATCAGTGCCTGTACTCATCCACTGAGGAGAGGAAGGCCGTTCAGTGGTACAGTGAAAAGAGGTCGGCGGAGTGGTATCGGCACCCAATAGCGAAGAACCATCTACGTAGATGTGGATGCGAATTGTTGTGTTCGATGCGAAGCACAGAGCAACAGAACGCTGTCTCAGAGCTGCGCCCAGGCCAAAAAACACAACAAAAAAGGTGAAATAAAGGTTTCACGTGAAGCTACAGTAGTACTTGGCGAGAGGTCTGCGAAACGGCTCCACTCAGCAGCGGCGGAACGTTCTTCCTTGAGGCCGGGAGTTTGTAATCCTCCGCAGTGATGTTGTTCTCGCGCACGGCAACGATTCGCCACCACACCTGATCGGATAGCTTTTCGACTCCTTCAAGCTCCGCCGTGACGCTGTTCACTCCCTGAGCCAGCGTCGCCTGCAAGGGTGTGGACGGGTATTATTTCTTTTATTATTTATGCACCAAAAGAGACGCATATAGACGCACCCACACCTTACTACCGACGGAAATCCTATGTATGTGAGGAATGAGCGTCACGAACATGTACGCGTTTCTTCCACCTGTCGCTCTACTGACAGGCGCAGTGTTCTGTCACTTCAATCAGCAACTACATGAAACAGGTTACAATCCCTAACGCTACACCCTAAACCCCAAACCCACCCGATAGGTGCTAGGTTGGCGCTGGGTGGCTCAGTTGTAGGTTCGTGTGCCGGCATTGGCGCTAGGTTGGTATTGATGGGATAATCTCTAGGTTATTGCTTGCATAGGTGCTAGGTTGGTGTTGACGTGGGAAGGTGCTACATAGGTTGTGTAGGCCTAGGTCGCTCTTGGTTGGGTGGTTCCGTCGGTAAGAAAAAGGTGTGCATGGCTTATGTGCGTCTCCATGGATATTGCATCGAATATTTTTGCTTGGCCCACTGCGTGCGGTTCGTCGTCTTCTTTTTTTCGTTATCATCAGATTATTGTCGCACAGGAGTGTACCAAGACACCGATTCGTGCCAAGACCAGCATCCTTACGGTACATGGATCAATGGTTTATACTTCTTTGCGGGCGATGGGTGATTGTCTCTAGAGTCATTTTCCAGTGAAAAATCGCATGCGTGCGTCATTGTCGGCAAAAACAAGTGGATAGACAAATGGTAGATGTGCCCGATGGTTTTGAATGAGGTAATCTTGAAAAGCTAGTGCCAAGCAAAAATAATCGAAAATATATGCCCCAATTACGCCGTCACGTTGTCGAAAGATTCCTTCGTAGTCCAATGGTTAGGATATATCGCTCTCACCGATGAGACCCGGGTTCAATTCCCGGCGAGGGAGTTTCTTTTTCATTTCTGGAGTTGGCTTTTTCTCTTTCTTCACCTGCTCTCACCATTTCTTTATAATTTATGCACCCAAAGCGACGCATATAAGCCATGCACCCACACCTCTTACCGACGGAAATCCTGTGTGAGGAACGAGCTTCACGCACATGTATCCGTTTCTTCCACTTGCCGCTCTACCTTCAACCAGCAACTACATGTTGATTTATTTACATTCAAACAGCGCAATTCGGGTATATCTAAAAATTATATTGTATTGATGCTCTGCTTTGGCACGGGCCTGAAACCGGCTAAAATCCCTAACGCTAACCATAACCCTAATCCCAAACCCACCCAATAGATGCTACGTTGGCGCTGGTTGGCTCGGTTCTAGGTTGTTGGTGTGCCGGCAATGGCGCTAGGTTGGTGTTGATGGGAAAATCTCTAGGTTGGTATTCCTTGGATAGGTGCTAGGTTGGTCCTGACGTGGGTAGTTTCTACGTTGGTGGGCCTTGGAGTAGACCTAGGTCGATCTTGATGGTTCCGTCGGTAGAAAAGGTGTGGGTGCATGGCTTACATGCGCCCCTTTGGGTGCAAAACCTTTTTTGTACTGTTCTCAAGCGCATCAGATCTGTAATACTGTACAGGACGTTTCGCTTCGTTCATTATTTTCTCGCTCTTGGCTTGAACAAATGTATCTATTTGACTTGCGGACCCCTCAGGACCAGTTTATTTGAGTGTACCTTTTAAGGGTAAGTTAACCTGTGACCACGGGAATCGACCACGTCGAGTGTTGGATCAGTACGGACATACGAAGGTACTGGGTAGAGAGAGACCGGAACGGTTTTTAAATAATGTGAAGACAACAACAACAACAACAACAACAACATTCGCGGCATTGCTACGGTAACGACGTCACGAACGGCAAGAATGGTCAGCAACAACAACACCACCATCACTCACGGAAAAAATCACGAATTCGTTCTACCGCGCCAGCACCTCATGCCACCCCCTCACCTGCTTGAGAGTCTCGGCCGACCGAAGCCTCTCAACAATGGCCTCAGCGTCGGCAAGCGTCTCCCGCTCTATCGCCGCTCTCGCTGCCGTGAGCTCTTCGCCACGGCCGTGAAGCCGCCTCCGGAGCTGCAACAATCTCTCCCGAACCGGCATCAGCCGACTAGACGCTAAACTCTAGAAGGAAATGTTTTGTTCAGCGGTCGCAGCGGCAGCGGCGGGTGGGCAAGCGAGGGAGGGATGTGAACGTGGGAACGAGTACTGAAGTTGCAGCTCTATCTACAGGAAGTAGAGCATCGCGTGGGATAGCATCCGTGTCCCCATCGGCTTGGTACACGGGCCCTGCAAGCACTGCCGCAGCACAACCGAGTCGATTTTTTCTGCACACGGTGTGGTTTCAAGGTCCGGTACGGGAGTACACATGGAAGCACCACACACAGTGGTGCCCGCTAGAACCATGAGCCGGGGGTCGGATGTATCTTCGAGCGAAGCTTCACATCGGAGCCACTGACCTCTCCTGATTGATCGGGCAGTATGCGATTTCGAATATACTGATTGATCGGGCAGTATGCGATTTCGAATATACTACTTGGTTGACAACCTCCACGCCGCGTGAGGCATATCGCTGCCTTTTGCGCGAAGGTTGGACGAAGGTGTTGTCTATTGTCTTCGTACCAAGAGCGAGACTTTCGACGTTGACCTTAGGCAGCCCACTGTACTAGGTCGAAAAATACGTCCCGAACACAAACCACCCTACCGCGTGCCGCGCGTGCCAGCAGAAGGCAGGCAGTCACGCTCCTCCTCGCCGCACCCACTCAGGCGAACTAGACACCATCATGGTCGATGACGGGGGGCAATGGTCTCACAACGGTAGCAAACGATCATGACATCATGGTGTTTCGATCTTGCCGATTGCCGGTACATGTAGCGTATGCTACCCATTGGACGTGGCTGAATCGACCGAGAGCAACTGGTTCAGATCTTTAGTGTCATCAAAATTAATGACCGTAGCGGACAAGGGGGGACGATCAGGCGGGAAGTGAGCGAGACCTCTACGAACGGCGCCAATGCGTTGTTCGCCGTACCTGAAGCCGGGACAGCCGCCGGCTGTACGCCTCGCGAAGGGGAACCACGGTGTGCCCCAGAGCCTGCTGAGAGGCTACCGCCTCGCGGGCCAAAGGAACTCCCGTAGTCTCATCGTAGTGTGTGATCGAAGGACCGACCGGCGACGGAGGCACCGCCGGTGGCGGCGGCAGTGGTTGTGGTGCTGCTGATGGAGCGTTGCCGTTGCCCCGTTCTCCCCCGCGGCTGCCGCGCCTGGTACCGTCTTCTCCCCTCTCCCCGAACTGCTCTAGCATTCCTCCTACCATGCGCTCAAAGTCGGCCCGACCGAGCCTGCCATCTCCGTCGGTGTCGAACTTCTGAAACAGTTGCCCAAACTGTAGTTGTACAGTAGTAGGAAAGGGGTCAGGAGGATCGTGTTGTACTGCAGGCCCGGAAAAACAAATCCCCGCCACAGTTTCGTTACCAAGTCAAAATAATGGGTTTCAAAATACTGTTTCGATAGGTAGCTCAGAAACTTGGTGGCACAACTCACATGAAGCAAAGTGTGCACATTCACAACACACCACCGCTGGCACTCTCCGTACTTGATTTTGGGATGAACCTATTCCTTGAAGACGGCGAGGAGGAGAGGGAGCCACCATGCGACTAGGTTCCTCGGCTCTCGGGTGCAGGCTAGGGTAACTACACTACAGTGAAACTCCACGACAAACAGACACAAACCAGGGCAGACACCACCAGCAACACCGACGCATGGGGTTCTGGCATCTACGTAAGTCTTGACGACGCTCACCTCAAAAATCTTCTCGGAGCCCATCCCGCCACCCCCTCCTTCCCTTCGTCCCTCCTGCCGGGCTTCCCCACCCGGTCTGCTGGCCTCTTCTCTTCTCCCGACTTGCCCTCCGGGTGCGGGGTCGGGTGCGGAAAACAGCTGTTCTCTTTCTCGCCACACCCGCTGGAAGTCTTTGGCGTCGACTCCCCCATTTCGGGCGAATCTTGTTAGTGAGGACAGCATTCGACAGGCGGTGTCGTGTTGGGGCATTGGGGACGAAAGCGAAACTCGCAAGAACTCTTTGCGTCGGGAATTCTTTTGTGCGACGCATGTTTTTTTACGAGGGAGTTTGACACGTACGGTAGACACGTTTGAGGCTACCTACGTCGCCCTTCACTATGATAGCGAAAATGTCTCGAGTACATGCTGCAAACAGTTTTCCATGGCCGCGACTGGGGTCCGCAGCTCCTGTGCAGCTACTTTCGCGATAGCGATAGCAGTAGATATGCATCGCGACAACAGTTGTCCGGAGCTTCCTATTGGTTGTAGGAGAAATCAGCAGTCCGCAGACTAGCCCTCTTCTAACGGCTTCGAACCCACTCGACCGACCACCCTATGGTGCACGCACTCGCAATGCGCCCGGTACACGGAGGCGAAATGTGGCTGGGCCCAACCGGAAACCGTTAGGTGAAGGGTTGCAGTGCTGTAGACTAATGTATTTAGTCGGTTCATGAGTCACTCACCTTTGAAACAGAAGACCGGCTTCGAAATCTGAGCTGGGTTTTGGGTCTTGTTGATGTGCTAACGATGGGTGCGGTGGAAGTACCGGGGGGGGCACTGCTGTAGCTCCCGCTGCTGCTGCGTCGGTCGCATCGCGTTGTTCTTCCCTGTCGGCAGCCCTCTTTCTGGACTTGCTGGGGCTCTTGCTCTTGCTGCTACGCTTGCTGCTGCTCTTCTTCTTTCTCTCCTTGCTCGAATCTTTCTTCGCTGACGACGAAGAGGACTTCGCCTTACTGCTGCTGCTGCTGCTGCTGCTGCTCTTTTTCTTCTCCTTTGTGGACATGTTAGTTCTTCTGGCTTCGTCGGAGCTCGCTTGTCGGCAAAGTTTCCTCGCTTGCGCGGATGGTTTTGCCCTGTCGAGTCTCCTCTCCTTCCCGCCTGGTCAGCATCACCGTTGAGTCACGCTAGCATCTATCTCCCCGAACCATTGCCTTATTCTACGCCCCGGACGTTGTCTGTTGCAGAAAGTTGTCTTTTGCAGAAAGCTCGTCGCACCTTGCGGAGCTATCAGATCGAAAGGTGCGGACTCGCACACTCCAATGCCGACCGAGAGCTTTGCCCGTTGTTTTCGAGAAGATTTTCCACAGCAGAGGGAGATGACACCCTGACCACAAAACACCTGTGGCTTCAAGCGCAAGGAATAAACACCACCTCGACCAGCTGTCCACGTGAACACCAGTAAGGTTCTCAGAGAGTGGTCTTCCCCAGCGGCTGTTTCTAGATTAGAAGCCGCCACAATCACTTCCCGCTTGCGACCTCGCACAGGATCCAAAGATTTTCTCGACGGGACTTCGTGAATCATTGAAGAGGGGGTGAGTAAACTTCCCGGGCCTGTCTGCGAACCCCCTGGCACTGCGTGCGGCGGGAGCGGAGCGCCTGACTTGTTCTGGCTGCAACATTGCCGAGGGCAGAGAACAGCGAGGATACAATGGACCGACCAGTGGTTGCGAGAGCCACTTCGAGCGATGACTCCCCGGTCCCGGGGTACTTGTATGGAGAAATCGCGCAGATGACGCACGCGAACTTCGAAGGCTGCCGGCAACTCACGGTCTACCTCCTGGAGCGGATCAAGAAGCCCAACCACAACATAAAGTTCAAATGCCTGCGGATAATAAAGGTGCGACGGGCGTGTGTATAGAGAGTAGGCGATGTGCAACCAAGCATTAACTGTGTGTGGTGCAGGCACTGTCGCGGCTAGTGTTTGCATGGAGAGGAACAGTCTCTTCTCGGTTGGGATGCTGCGGAGCAATACCGACGACGTTGTGATCGGACATGGAACAGCAGCAGCAGTGGGATCACTAATATATGGTAGGGCCGGCGGCTCCTGCTGCTGCTGCTGTTGCTCTGCCTGCTGTGATCTGTTCTGCTCTCCATGCTGGAAACATTTCCTAGGCGGAACAAACGAGCCGTCCCCATACGAAAGCCGCCTGGCTGCTGTCTACGATTGTGTGCATGTTGCTTGGAACCATGCATGAAAGACTGCTGTCGGGGAGTAGGCACGGACGCCGAAAGAGTCGTCGATCGCCCGCCGAAAATGCTTGAAAGTTACACGATACCCGCACTTGGGTTAACCACTCTACCGGCAGCAGAGTGTCTTGCGTGCGCCTTGCGCGTTAGACAAGACACCCGCCAATTCCCCTGCTTGGCGTAGGCGAAAGACTCTGTAGTCTGGCGACTTGGTTTGCTTCCTTGGAAGAATACAAACCTCTTTTTTCTGCGCACCATCATGTTCTGAGAGGCAACCGCTGCACCGATGCGCGGCTGCCCGAGCTTCACCATGGGGCGCTATTCTATTGGAACGGTTTTCAGTGCGCTATTCTATATGGAACGGTCTTCAGTCTGCGTACAGCGGCTGTTTTTGCTGCTCGTGGGGGGACATGGTGTGGGCTTCGGCGGGAGTGTGGTATTTTCTTTGCAGTAGTCACACGGTCCAAAGGTACCCTTGTCGGTAAGACACTTGAAACTACATGAAGAAAGAAGTTTGTACATACAGTAAACCCGCCAGACGGGGACAATTCTTGCCCGGCACTATGCTGGTGTTGCTACACACACAACACGTTGGTTAAAAAAAAACTCCGTGGCCGCGCCTGGGGGGGATACAGTATATCACCTTGACTCGCGCGTCATCGCTTGCTGGACGGAGGCAGGAACGGAGGTTGTGTGTCGTGTGGAAAAAGTGAAGCAGGAACCGCAGGCGTTGCTTGCCTCCCGGGTAGAGCAGCATCGCTCCCCGCACCTCCAGTCAGGCTCACGAACACCGGTCTGCACTCCCCTTGTTTGCTACTGCCACGTAATTATTGGCCATGACGCTCCTGTTCGTTTGCGTGTTTATTGGTAGAATTTGTGTTGTCCCTTGTTCTGCTAGGGGACGCCTGGGGTAACTTGTCGGCTTCCCTCGGGTTCCCCGCCGTCGTGGCGTGGGAGACAGTAAGAATACCTCTGCGGCGCTTTTAGTCCACCTCTCCCCCCTGGCAGAAGAAGCATCCATCGCCACACAGCAGTATGGTGGAAAGATATATACACAAAGAGAGCTTTTGTTTTCGCTCAATTTTGTTTCCCCCTGCAGCAGTCCTGGCTCTTTTCAGCTTATCACGCGACGAGATTTCGGCAGTCTCTCTCTCCCCCCTCTTGGTTTTTTGTTTTATGTGCTCACAAGTTTAGCAGTCGTGGTCCCGCTATATGTGCCGGGCCGATTCCCCCCCCTAGTGTTGTTGTTTTCACGTGCACATATGAACAAAAACAGAAACGTTCAGGTCTCCGCTCAGTACCTTCTACTCAAAGAGTACAAGAAAAACTGGTTGTTCTATGCATACATCTGGCCAAGAGATGTCGCCCGCCCTTGTTAGGGTCTTACCCCCTTGACAGACGTGTCAAAGACAAACTCCTACACTGTAGCTAGTACATTTCCCGAAAATATGCCCTTGACTGCTGTCAGCTGCCATCTGTTGCCCTACTCCGCCCTATGGATGGACCCCCAAGAGTCGGCGCTGTTCACTTGTATACATTGCGAGGTTTTTCGCTCTTAGAGGAAATTCGAAGCCGAAACCCGTGCTGGGCAGTTGATGCTTGCGAAAAGGACTTCGTATCAGCTGTGGAGAAATGGCGCTTTGTAAATCGGTCCAGGGGGGGGGGGGGGTATCCTCTGTCATCTACGGTAGTGTTTGTTTTTTCCTCAGGCTGTATCCCGAGTCCGCACGATTGTTGACCATCCCATGGATCCCTCGAGCCATCGTCTGAACAGCAGCCGTTCCCACCACTCGGTGTCCTCTCGTGCGTGTGTGTATGCGTTGCACGAAAAAAAGCACGTGTGCATGAAAGGCAGGGCGGAGTTCAAGATGTCCATGCAGCGAGAAGCCCAGCTAATCAAGGACTGTCTCACCTTCAACGGACCCCCGGATCCCCTGAGAGGGGAAGAGATCTACCGAAGGTGAAAAGATGACAATACGGCATTGATAAATGAAGTTCTCGAACTGTGACGTGCCATCCAAGGATGAAAATGCCGCTGTTATGTTTTGTTTTGTTTTTGCGGGGGAGGGAGGTAGCGGAGATGGTGGAACGGTGGTTGCTGTGGCGGTGATGTGCTTCTGGTTTCGGGTGACAGTTGGTGCACAGTATACAGCCAGCGTTTGCACGTACCCTCAAATCGAGTCGCACCGCAGAGGTAGACTGTGTTCCCATTGATTCCAATTTTCGTACGTTCGTGTGTGTGTGTTTCTCCTCGTCGTTCTGTCAGGGTTCGCGAGGCGGCAAAGGAAACCTTGGAGGCCATTTTCGCGGAAAATCCCCCTGCAGGAGCCCTTGCGGCTCCCACGAGGTACTTCCTGCTGTGCTACTGTTGTACCCGTCTCCTCCGACTCTCTTGGAAGTGTGAACGCCTTGTGCCGGTGAATGCTTTATCATCATTACTATCCAACTAACTTTGTCTCCCTTGGTGTGTGGGTATTCGTTGTCCCTTTCGTTTCGTGCTCGCTACAACCATCTCAGCAACAACCGAGTAATTTCTCAAGATAGAAATGCTATCTGGGCTACTGGTTGGCGAATCACGTTGCCTCAGTGTTGAACGGGTATGACCTTAGCACCTCTTGAGGCTCCGCAGATGTGACGGCACCGGGGTGTATGTATCTAGCACGCGTGACGTCGGCAAAGGTCTGGCTTCGACTTGAATCGAGGCCGTGCGTCGGACGTCAATCAGTGACATCGAGCGCTACCACCTAAATTCCGAAGCGCTAGATCTGATGGTGTTTTTTTGGCCACCGTGACATGCTTACAAATCGACGACGGACACACCTGTGGCGAACTGTGTACCCGGCTGATGTTGTTGCGCCCTGTTACCCCTCCCTGCTGTGTGCTGTACTCCTGTATGTCCTTTGTATTGCCTTCGGCCTCTGTGCTGTGCTTCTTTTTTCATGCCCTCCCTGCCTACTCTGCCTTGTTGGGTACCTTGATCTCCCTTTTGCTGTTGCTTTTGCTTTTATACATCTGGCTGTCTGCCCATCTGCCGCCTCTTTGTTCTGTTGCCTTCATTACTCCCATTCCCTGGTGCGTAGTGCCTGATGCTGGTACGTTAGTTACCATTTGATTTTTTTAGGCGGGTGTGGGAAGCGTCCTCCTTTTTCCCTTTTCCCTTTTTATTTTTTGCCTTTATTTTTGTTTTGTTTTATTTTGATCGGTTTCCTAGGGCTCCTTTTCTCGACCGGTCGGTGCGGTAGCTGCTCTTTTCTTTCTATCATTTTTGTTTTCTTTTTCCGAGTAGGTTGTACTCTTTTTTTGTTTTGTTTCCCGGGCGGCGTCGTATGTGGCCGGGTTTTGCGACCACGCGGCTCCCCATTTTTGTGGACTAAAGAGCTAATGTGAGAAACAACAACAGCAACAACAACACCACGGGCGGGGGGGGGGGGAGGGGGGTAGTGTTTCGCCCATGGTATTTCATGAGGGCTTTCGACCTAGCCAGACCACTCCTTTCACCACGATTTTTCCATTCCTTTGTTGTTACGACGCATAGTCGACGTGAATGCTAGACTTGCCGGCACTAGTCCTACGTGCTTGGCAAGACTTCGATTGATACTTTGCACCGGAGGGCCTGGATCAAGTTGGCACAGCTTGTAGGATGGCTGGAAAGTCCAGACATTGTGCAGGTACAGACCGAATGAATCCAGAGATTTCACGCGGGATAGGCTGCCTGTCTCTGGGATGCGAACTGTTGTGATTACATTACAGCAGTACCGCAACAACGGAGGCGCCCCTCCTCTTTGCTCCAAGCAGAGGCTGCAACGCGCGTGACAACCCTGCGCATTGCCCCACCACACTATTTTATGTATCGACATCCGTTCCCCCCCTCCCTCCTCTCTGGCTCTACATTCGTGGCTCCGAGACAAGAGGGTGATATGAAAGGCCAGACCCTCTCGCATCGGAACCCCCGTCGTATCGGGAGCCCTCTCATACTGGAACAAGAGGGTACGGTACCCAACTATGCTACCGCGGGTCGAGTCCGCGACACCCGGTTTCGACCCTCATATATACATCGGAGCCACGACGACGTTATACCCAATCAATGACCCACCTCTTCCCATGACCCTGGCCTTCGCGAGCAAGATATCAATATTAATCTACCATGATATAGAGCGGGGGGGTTTCCCTAACCCGCACCCCAACCCGCACACTACCAACCCAATCCTTACGAAGTCTACTGCCCTCATCATCACGACCCCCCCCCCCCCCCCGACAGATACGCCTCCGGTAACCGCATCGAGGGCTTCGGGTCGGGGGCGGCGGGCGGTGGGCCCGGCAACGGCTACGACAACGACGGAGGCGGAGGGCGGTACCCCTCCTACGGAGGCGGCGGCGGCGGCGGCGGGTCAAGCTTCACCGGAGCTTACGACGGCGGCTACGGCGGGGGCGGCGGTAGCACCGTCGAGACGATCGGCGCGGTGGGGTCCGCCGTCGGCTCCGCGGTCGGAGCCGCGATGGGGAAAGCGATCGGGGCTGTGCGGGGGCGCGCGGGGCAAGGGGGGGGCGCCGGCGGTCTCGCGTCTTCCGGGGGGGGGCGCTTCCGAGGAGGAGGAGGAGGAGGAGGAGGGGGATACCCAGGAGGAGGAGGAGGGGGGTATGGGGGAGGAGGCGGGGGGTCCAGCATGCAGGGGATGGGCAACTACGACCCCTCCAAGGTGAGAGGGTGTGTGTGCGCGCAATCTTACTGACCGTGGTGTTTGAGGGTTCGGAAGGGAGATAGGGGTGGTGGTTGGTTTGGATCCCTCTCGGCGGACGATGTTGCGTCGTTTGGTTTTTTGTTCAGGCCAAACCCAGTCGGGCTCGTCGAGTGTACAAGTGATTCCTATGCCCTCGCCCCGCACCCCCCCCCCCCCCCCCAAGAATAAAAAAAAAAAATCCGGTTCACCCGCCGGGATTATGTTTCCCCAGAACCCCAAAATTTTTGCCCCCCGCCCCCAGGGGGGGCCGTTTTTTCCACAAAGTCCCGGCCGCCCAAAACTTTAAAAACCCTTACCCCAGGGGTTTCAAAAAACCCGTGGCCG